TTGTAGTGCAAGGGACATCATTCAGCTTTCTAATAATCTCAAGGACACAAAACCTGAAAAACAGAAATCATTGGCAGATTATTAAAACACCCATCTTGATCTTTTCTCACTAATCTTGTCTTGTTTTCTGGACCTTGGGCTAATACACTACACTTTGCTAGGTAAAGAAGTCAAGGAATGACCACATCACTGTTTCAGATCTATTTTGAACAATTTAGTGCATTTCATGTAGATGTGCTGTGAGAATGAAATAAGATATCAATGGCTGTAATAAATTAGTATGAAAAGTGTGCAAAAATACATGATATACAATGTAACTATAGACTTTACACTAACAGTTGTTTACATGCACCTGTCTGAGCTATTCTGTTCTAAAGAACTGTTTTCAACTTTCTTGCAGACTGAATAATCAGTCTTATCCACAACAATGTCCAAAATTTCTTGTGAAACCTGTGAAATAAAAACATAAGTGAAAGTATAATTTCTTGAAACCTGTAGTCATTCTCAGGTAAGTGTTACATCAGTACAAAAAATGCAGTGAGAAGGTTAAAAAATTTATGTCATAAACAATTTTATTAATAACTCTATTTGGGGTTTTCTACTTCAACAAATTTCAAAATTTATAACCAATTCTATTCACTTATAGTCAGCCAGACTAAACTGAGAGCATCTAGGAACAGACTTGTTAATAGTGACACTAGGACTAAAATCACTAAATATTACCTTTTCAAATGAGCTGTTGGATCCTTCTTTCATTTTGCTTTCAGGAAAGGAAAATGTAAGCAATCGCCCTAAAAGATCTAGTGAGGCAAAGAAAAATGGCAGTTGAGGGAAAGAAGCAGGTTTCATCCATTTTGAACAGTAATTAAAAGGTATGAACCATTTAAAATCATGCTTTTAACTTCAAGACTAGTGTTTATTTTTAAAAGGTTGAGTGTACCTGATAAAATATTTTCTTGCTTTTCCATGTCCATTTTGTTTAAACAGAGTGCTATAAGTCCATCAGCAACTGCATCAACTGTCTCACTGTACTGCAAACAACTAGTAACAATAATGGAGACGAACATTTACTGAAGGGTAATATTCATTTTATACTGTAACATCCCCTTGGTCATTATTTCTCATGAGTCATAAAGTTTTGCTGAACTTTCAATAAATATTGTCTAAATTATTTAATGTAACTGAATACTTAATATGTATTTTTTTTTTATTGTAAAAGAATTGCAAGCAAATTGAGCTGATACATGTATTGCATGCATGTCACTAACTATGCTATAAAAGCTAGACACTTGCTTTTTTCATGAACAATATTCACTCCTTACCAAGCTAAATATGTGTTGAAGGAAACTATGCAGTTTTTATGAAGCATCCAGACAACTTCCAATGGAATAGTGGGACCCTGAAATAGTGAGAACTTAAGCATGAAGTAATAGCTTATCATGTTCAGAACAAAGCAGCCAGTCTTACCAGCATTCTAAGCCAGACTTACTTTGAATTACTAATTTTAATACCACAATAATGAAGTAAGTAAGTTAATATTCATACATAGCTAAATATAAGTCCTCTCTTTTTTGGGACCTTGATAGTTCAAACCCTCTTTCAAAATGATAGGGGCAAAATGTTAGAATCTAAAAAAACTGATTAATAAACTAAAGTTCATCCATCCAATAACAGTTACAACTGTCATTTTTAACATTAATGATCATTTTTTTCGCTTCGGAACAGTTATACTGTTGGTTATACTGTTTAATTTTTGTACTACATCAAGTTATCAAAACCAAAATACTTTTGAAAGTGTAACAAATGAAGTGTTTTATATCTTATGAGACATTTTGGTGTGTAGTATCACTGAATATTTGTTACAAGTTGTGCTGTATTTTGACCAGCCAGTAGGATGAGGCAAAATAGAAACAAGTAAAAATTACCAAGCTACAGCTGACAAAAATGTCTAATAAGTTATCCATTATCCAACTGTTTTTTTTTTTCTACCAAGTGTTTCTGGTCATTTCTCATAAGACAAGAAAGCAAAGTGGATAGAGTAATAAACCGTGCATAGCCGACTAGTCAAACAGGTTTTATTTTACAGCACAAAAAAAAAACCAACTATACAATATCGCAGGATATTTGTACTCTATTCCTCCATCATTTGTACTCTTCTTTGTGCAGTTGGATAATAAAATCACATACCAAATAGTAAATACAGTCAGTTAAGTTATACACCTTGGTGGTCAAATGTTTTGTGAAGTACACTCTGTTAAAACACTGTTCAGACAACATGTTCTTTATCAACTCCAAAACAGCCATTACAGATTCCTGAAATGGTAAGAAATTGTGATACAGTTTATCAAAATAAAACTTACAACAATTAATCTAGGAATATTAAGGGTTTTTGTGACAAGTGATCATTTTTCTTCCCATTACTAGCTTCAACTAGTATGTTCTATTTAACAATTAGTTTATAGGCATAAGATTTTTATCACATGATAACAGAAGATATTCCAAGGTTAGAATTACCATCTTACAAATGAATATATCTTAATTACCAGTTGTTCCTTTGATAAAAGTTGTTCAGAGGAGCTGCAAACAGCAATAAGTCTTCCACTCAGCCTTTCTGCAGCCAATAATTCTAAAGGACAAGCTGCCTTAGAAGCCTGACATTTTAGCAGATCAAAGCAACTTTTTACTGAAAAACAAGTATAAAAAAAAGCAAGCACAAAAACTATATTAATTGACCATGGTTCTTAAGGTTCTCTTCTACCGTCTGGCAAATAAAGAAATATTTCTTTAAATAGTTCACTGCAACTCAGCTTCCCCCCTAAAGTTCTTCTTTATTTTAAGCCTGACAAGTTAGAGAAATTTACAAAACTGGTATGTAAATAAAGCAAGCTGACAGTCTTGACTAGAAACTTGATCCTTGATCCTTAACCATTTCCAGAAAGGAGAATCAAGAATTGAGTATCAAGATGCTCACAGAGCTCTGCGAGGATCTTGATTAGCAATTTCCAGAAAGCCACACTACACATTGATTTGATTATCATCCAGCATGTACTTCTAAAATCAGCAAGATCAGCTGTGTTGAGAGATTCCTGGCTATCTATAGTTTGTTATTTCCTTCACCATATCATTCAATATGTTAATTTCTAAGTAACACAATTTACAATTAGCTCACCACTAAGAGAAGAGCACAATTCGAACTTTGGATTTTTATGGTGTGGATCACATTCATCATGATCTTCACTCTGTAAGATACAACCGGACTAAAGGGAATGTTTAATGCCATAAAAGTTATTTTCAAAGAAGCTTTTCAGAATCTTAACAGATCAATGAGACCATTAGAAATATAAATAATTCATCATTCATCTCAATTCCCACAATTTCCTTCCTATGAAGTGGAACTTACTTACCAAATAAAGAAAAACAGAATTCTACATTTTCAAGAGCTTCAGTCTCTCACTTTTCCTCCTAAATTGACCCATGATTTTCTTTCAAAATTGAATATTTATATCTGCTACTTTCTTTTCAACATCACAAACACCAACCACATAAAATCTTTAACCTGGATATGTCTTATTCAGGACCACATTGTGCATATGCACCCTACCAGATAAAAAAAAATTTGGCTTTTAATTGCCTTGTTCCAGTCTCTTAACACAAACTGATAGAACTAAAAGGAAACACACAATCCCAAAATTTTGTTTCAAGCATTAGCCCTTGATGAAGGGCTAGCACTCAAAACATCAGCTTTAAAACTCTTTACTGTGGCCAATTTATGTTATCAACTCAGTTGATAATACTTAATTACCCTGTTATACTCTACCACCAATACAGCACCACACCTTCTTTAGAAAAATACACCCTTTGTTCATTAATCTTTCTTTTTTTTTTTAATTTGGTTGAGTTAAAATCTAATTGATTTCCTCTTGTGTTGCAAACAATGTCTCAATCCAATTCAAAATGAACAGGAAACCATGGCTGACCTCTCTCAATATGCCCTCGAAACTGAAATTATCATTCACCATTTGTAGAACAGCCTTCTTTAGTTCACCCACAGATCCATCAGTGCTTGCACATTCTTTGATCTGAGTGCTTTCTACGAAAAAGGAACATCCATTCAAAAATAACTTATGGATATTTCATTAAATCATCAATTTACAAAGAGGTGTCTTTTCACTGAAAAAAGAAATAATCAAAATATGCAGACAGTTTGTTTTTAAAGTTATCCTTTGCTTGGCTGAAAAAGGTGCACTCTGACTGTAATTTGCTTCGCGTGGATAACCTTATTATATCCGCCACTAGACTATTACAGCAAGTCCCAAGTGCTCGAAAATCAACACTCCCAAAAAATGATTATCGGTTGAAAGTCTTCCACATTATTTTTGTTAAATTTGACGGCAAAGATTTGGTGAATCTCCACATTTCACTCCCCTGGCTAAGATTGCTTGCACTCCAATGCACACTGCAGCTCTTTAGCTTCCAACGCTCACAATAAGTTGCTCAAAATAGAAGTTAACCCGATGACCTGAACAACAACATGAAAAGTTTCCTGATTGAGATTTCACAATGTTGTAATTTTAAATTTCACACCTATACTTCTTTAATCCTATAAATTCTTTTGTTCGAGTGCTTAGCCTCCTAAAACAGTGGTGTGTAATTACGATTATAAAACTCTTGACATGTACTCACCTAACAATCGCTTGAATTTGTGCTGAGCATTCTCCCCAATATTACCGTCTGCATAACTTTCTCTGGAACGTTTAGTTCTGCAATACGACTCAAGTTCCATACTTCATCAAAGCAAAACCTCAACAATACATTATTTTCAGCTGGAAAACACAAAAGAAAGTTTTTCACATTCCAATTGTGCGCCAATTCAACAAAAACGACCAGGCGTCCGCCAATAGCTTTTAAACTTCATGTATGAATACACAAAGTATCTTTATTTTTGCAAGCAGCGCAGCCTGGCCTTAACGACGTCACATAGCTTTCTTTTTACGCGCGCTGTTTGAGCTCTAGAAGATGGCGTCGGTTAGATCACCCCTCTCGTCGGAGTCCGAAGGGGAGCTTTATGAGGTAAGAGGCCGTTACACGTTATTAATTAACTGACTGGCTTTTCTTTTCAACGGGAGGTTTTCCCCTTTGGAGCTTATTCTGTTTTTTCCTCGGTAAGAGAACGAAGATTACAGTTTTGCCTAAAATCTTCGATCTGCTAGCTGCTTTATCTGATTCGTCCGAATTTACAATGCTTGCTCAATCGGTAGCGATTATTATTATGTAATGGCATTATTTGTTTAAATGCTTAGACTGGAGCTTTGTAGCGTTTACTTTTCAGTCAATGCGATCCCTGGGTACTATTTGGGCTTGTAGAAAATGATCCTCGATCGAATAAATTTACTCTGCGCTTTCTCTGTCGAATGCACTGGATACTATCAATTACGAAATCGATTAAGTGTTCTTATTATCGTCCTTTATGCAAAATGTTGGAGAACGACCTACGACCTACGATGTATTTAAAGAATGATTAAGTTGAAATTCCTTTAGTTTGAATTTTGTTTTTCTCTGTTTCAAGATTGTGGTGAAACATCTTGAAACATGGGGAAGTACACATAAAACTAGATGAAAATATTTTGACCCGAAAGGCATTTTAAAGTACAAAATATATGTCCACACAATGATACATTTGTATTCCAGGTTGAAAAGCTTCTTGGAAAAAGAACTCACAATGGCAAAGTGGAGTATCTCATACGCTGGAAAGGCTGCAGGAAAGAGGACGACTCGTGGGAACCAGTGAAGAATTTGAAGGGCTGCCAACCTTTGATTAAACACTTTAACAAAACACGTTCTCCTTCTCCAGGGAGAAAGGCCAAGACACCAAAGGTAAACCTTTTACATGTTTTTGTAATCTTACAGCTGTATCTTTCTGTTCAAGACTTATGATTACATGATTATTGAGAACTCATGTTGTAAACTTTATTATACAAGTTGAGGGTTTATTGGTGGGGCAGAATTAAAAATATATAACTCATAATACACATTGATTTTGTATTTCTCTCTCCGTCTTTGACAGAAGTCTCAAGTAATACAAAAAGTACAGACAACAACAACACCAAAAGTTGAAGAGTACACTAAACTGAAAACCCCAAGCACTCAATCATCAGATTTTGTGATTCTTCATAGGAAAAAAGGTGGATCCTTTTCACTGTATGAAGCTATTTTAAAGATTTAACAGCCACATATTCCTTGGAAGTACACAAAGTTTGTCCCAATTTTGTTTGAACTTCCTTAGCCTTTGCAAATACTGTACTTGATAGATTCTGAGGTTGATGCTTATTCTAGGGTTGTTATGTACTGTAAGCTTTATTGACTTGATGTTTAAGAATTAAATGCTAAGTGGAGTTGACTAATGCTGGATGTTTTTATAACTGCACATTCTTCCAATTGCTGTTTTTTTCAAAAACTGTCACAATATCAAGCACCCTATAATAAGTTCAGCCTTCTGTTGACTAATGAACAGTTTTCACTCACTCACAGGTTATTTTCTGTGCAATCTAACCATAGATAATTTGAATTAACAGACAGATTACTGAGAATATTTGGAATCAACTGTGTATTATTCAAATGTCATATTTTGTTTTTACTCTTTGTATAAAATGTGCCAGTTCGGTCAAGCTTTGCTGAGAAAGGGTTCATTCAGCCACAGTGAAATGAATCTTCAAACTGTTTTCCTGCTTGGATGTTCCATTTTCTCTTGACTCTTCTATATTGTGATTAAATGAGGTTAAAATATGCATGCACACTACTCTAATAGAAGTATTCGTACATTTTTTTTTTTACTTTTTACATTCATTTGTTGTCAGCTTCTGATTACCCAAACCTTTTCCAATGTCTGTGGAAGGTTTGAGTCATTGGGAATTGACTGAACTTTTTTGAACTCACATGTGGGATATGTTCACTTGACTCACAGGGCCAATAACTTACAAACAAGAAACAAAAGAAGAAAAAGAAGTTGAGATTACTACAAAGACAGACACTGTGGGGGAGATAAAAATTGAGGAAAAGAAATCCATCACAGAAGAAGAGCCTTCCAAACCTTTACCCAAGGAAAAGACTACTGCAGTAGCAGTCAATGCAAGAAAGGAGGTTTTAAAAGTTTTCACTGCGTTAGTTGTCTTAACATTTTTCATTCTTATTTTATTCTCATTTTTTCGTGTTGTAGGAGATAAGTAAGTGCAATTTAGTGCTTTTACACAAAGGTTTTAACTTGATTTTATAATACATTTATATTTGTTTATATTTTGTGGTAGCAGCTTAGGGAGTTATGAATGAGTATTAGCAGGTTATGGATGTGTGGAAGATACTACATTGCCACAGGGATATGGAATCTGTCTCTGCTTTTCTTTTTTTTTTTTCTTTTTGATGATGTCTCTCACTTTTTAACTTTGCTCATCTTCTCAAGACAAGAAGAGAAATTCAAGAGGATAAATACTGAAACTCAAAGAAATGTGAAAGTTTACTTTGTAGGCTTTATTATCAAGTGCACATTTAACAATTTTACTGAGTGCCAAATTGAAGATTCTGCATTGAGAAAATCTTAGACACTCCTTTCTTGTAATGCATACAGAGGCTTGCAGCATATGTACTCATGCTTGAATGCTGCAATAAGGTGGTGCATCAGAGCTCTACAGACCATTATTTTCCCAATTACAAGTAGATTTCCTGGAATTTTCAAGTAGCAACACTACAACCCCATAAATATCAGATCAGCAATGCTCCTTACATCTGATCTTGTCAACTGTTCACTGCAATGCATAATGTGTTGATGCTTTAAAGAGGAGTTACAGTTTTTTTGACAGCCTTTTGCCTCTCCACCCCAATACTATTTACAATTTACAGTTTTTTTTTTGCTTGGGCAATTTTGTTATTCCACTGAACTCTAAAATTTTTGGAACATTCTCAAGTTTGGTCAGTATTTTAATCTCAAACAAATTCAGATTTTTTTTGACAAACCCAAAGTCTGAAGATTCATTTTCTTAGTTGAAAGTTTTAAAGCCAAGACAGTACCTTAAGACTTGTGCTTCAGAGGTGTGTTAACTAACCAGAGGTATAAATTTTTCAGGAAAAGTCTTTCATTTCAATAATTGATAGTATTTATTTTTTATGTCAATGCATCAGGTGATAATAATTATTTTATGTCTTTCATACATGTTTGTAATGGATACAAACTATGTGTACCTGATAACTAGGAAGTGCTGCCAGTTGAAACAAATACTTCTAGTCACAGCTTTGTATAGTTTTTTTAGTGATAGTTGAAATTCAACACTGTAGAAACGCCAGTTCTAACAAGAGATATTAAAGAAACATTTGAAGAATTGCCAGTTATTGATTACGTGATGGATAAAGGGAAGAATTGAGGATCTCGGCTAGAGACTATGGATTGTTTTTGTCCTCAGAGCGTTTTTCGGTTTATTGTGGTAAAAACCAAAACTGAGAACAAAGGTAAATGCTATAGTAAAAGTTCATGGTCAGACAAAGGAAAAAGAGCGCGAATCGTTTTGCATCTGATTGGTTAGAGGGAGGTGCGAGTTTTTTACAGAACTTAGTGAAGCAATAATATCGCGGATGGTTTTGGATACTGTTGAAAAATACTCTGTTGTCTTTTGATGTAGTCGCCATCACAACTTTTTGCCGAGTTAACTTTAGCCTCAATAATATTTACGATATGGTCTGAAACCTCCCTTGTTGTGTTCCAGTCATCTATTGTTCGAGCACGTGAAGTTGAGGAGTCGTATAAAGAGAGACAATTACAAGTATGTAAGACTTGTCAAATGTGGCTGTAAGGGGAGCAAAGTTAGGTTAGAAGTGGCTTGTTTCAGCCATGCGCTGATAACTACAAAGTTACAAGTTTAGTTGCTTTGGTGAGCGAAAGAAACGCTAAGTTTATTACTCACTAGAAGTTGATGAAAGTGAATTGCGTTTCGAACGCAATCATTTCTTCATCAGTTGGAGGGTAACGATGAACGTCTTGGGAAGAATTAGTTAGAAAGCAAACACAGTTTTGTCTTTTGGCTCAACTTGATTCACTTTTTTTAAAAGTTCCTAAGACAGTGCAAAACGACGATTTTTTTTTCTTTCTTTTCATTGTGTCGTTCGCATAAATTTTATAAGCTGGCAGGGACTTCATTGACCATGCCCAGCATTCCTGACCCAAAACATGGGATCCATGAACAAATTATCTGGGGCGGAAGTTTCTGAAGAAACTGTGGTGCTGCTTCTGTAGAAGAGTAAACAAGGTAATTTTGTACTCCCATTTGAGTTAAGAGTTTCAAAACTGACGTTTCGGGCGTTAGCCCTTCGTCAGAGCGAATGTTTCGCGATCACGAAGGGCTAACGCTCGAAACGTCAGTTTTGAAACTCTTTATGGTGGCCAATTTACGTTAGCAACTCAGTTGATAATGCTTAATTACCCGAATTACTTACGAACTGGCTTTAAATACTTGTGCGGTATCGAACAAGCGTAACCAGTAAAGATGGCTGGATATTGGCCATGTTCTTTTTTTTGCGACGAAGTCTAGGTCTTAAAAAACGCGAAAGAGAGCGAGGCTAATACCCAGCTATTTTGAATGAACAAGCTTGGTCAATAAAAGATTTATTATATAGCAAAAATATTTCGCTTGATTAGGAATCAAGAATGACTTATTTCGAAAGCCGGGAAAGAAAGCCAAATGTGTTTATAACACAATAAACCCACAAGAGTCGTTTATATTTTCTTTGAGTTTGTCTGTCTTCTTTTTGTCTGCCGCTTTTTGTGACTTCATCGCCGACATTGTCCAAGAAAGTCTGCCCCGAGCAATTTTTTCTTTCGCGGGATCAACGCGGGCAACCCGAGCGGGCAAAACGGGCCCATCTCGCCCACTCTGCCTATGGGCGCTGCCAGTTTTTCTTAGTTTTTACGTGACGTCACCGAAATTTAAAAAGAAGGAAGTGACAATCCTTTCGAAATTTTAGCTTAGTTAGTCATAAGAACAACTGAAGACTTATCTTTCACAAATTTTGAGTTTAAGACAAACGTCTCCCAAATTTAAAGACAAATCAAAGGAGAGAGAGGAAACATGTGGCCAGACAAGTGGGCCTAAAAGACGGTATGTTTTACAAAAGGATATAAACATATTTAACAAATACAGATGGAGTGATAAAATGGCTCTCGATCCATTTAAAAACACTCTAGGCGTGAGCTCTGTAAACGAGAACAAATGATAAAACATATTGCAGCAAACCTTGATCATTTCAGCCATCTTAGAAAAATACATCCACTAGGCTTGCGTATCTCCCTCACTCTCCCTTCGTTTGCGTTGGACATGGGAACACTCTTGTGTTCGTATTTCCGTTTGCATTTGGATCGCACGTGTGGACAAGGCTTAAGAGAGTACCACTGACAATTCTAGTACTTAGCAAGAGCGCTTTTAGTTAAGAAGAACCTCCTTAAGACCTGTTATGCAATAATGTGAATCGAACTCATCAAGGTTGCTGAATTGACTGCAGACATCGTAAAACCACGTATGTACAAAGAATATGTTAGAATGATATTTTCACAAACCAAATCAAAAGGAAACGTAAGTTTCTGATATAAAAAATAAGTTCTTAACCGCGCTTTTGGCAGCTCACGCCAAATAGAATTTAATCAAGTTGTTATGTAATTCCACTCTTTTAGAGTATAATTTAAGAAAATATAATTTTGACGCCCGTCAGGCCACCAGCGAATACAATCTGACAAATTTGCCAATCGATGAAAAATTTCTTCGTTAAATACATCAACATAGAAAACCTCTAAAACACACTTGTAAGGGAAAAACTCTCACATTTTTCTTTCAAATATTTAACTCCTAACTAGTTGTCAAGTAATATACACTCATCGTTTTACTTCAGAGGTTTTTTCGGGACATTACCTCAAGTTCAGCAGTAAGAAAATTAATTTCCTTCATGGCTCTTACATCCGTTAATGCCAGTAAAAATTTCTAACTAAAGAGTAAACTGTTCATGCGAGGTAAATTCCCAAAAATAAATGTTTGAATGAGATTGTCATTCTTACTGCCATCATTATGCAATCATCTAGAAAGTTCACAGGGTGCCGGATGTCCATTTATGTGTATTGTCTAGCTGCGCCACTTATCTTATCAGGTTTTTTTTAAGTTGAAGTTATCAATTGCCTAAGTTGAAAACGATGAATAAACCTCTGTGGCGAATTTAGATTATCCGTTTTCTAGAACCTCTAATAGTCCTTTTAAAATCCAGAAATTTGTCTTTCTTTCATTCTCTTTCTCCAAACTGCTCCAAAGAACGACTGATGATCGAAATGCTAGATTTTCAAACTTCACCACGACGACGGTTCAACTACCTTTATCGACCTCATTTGATAATAAACAAGAGATTTTGCACGCTCACACTGCAGTTTGTTTAGAACCAATACCCTCTTTTCCAAGCTAATCTTCAACAACTATTTCAGAAAACCGTGCTGTTTTGAGCACCAAGCTTGCGAAAGTAGCCTTTCTGTCAGATTAACCCGAGACAAGTACCCAAACGAATACTCAAATCCTTCGCCTTCGCGGCGAAAGCGAATATACCAGAAACGATTTCACTCTAATAATAAATTGAGTTAGAGGCAAGATTGCCTTAATTTGGTTTAGCTCTCCAGGGTCTCTTCCATTCCAATCTCTTTGATGCTCGCCCGATCATATAAAGTACGGTACACTTGTCATCAAAATGAGCAAATGGTGGCAACTTACGCTACTTTTATGATGATATTGTTTTTTGAATCTCACTTTGAAAGTGTATGAGTAACTTATGAATAAATCTTATATAATAGGAACACTAGTGTCCGAAAACCCCCAATACGCGATGTGTGCGCAAACCTCCTGCCTGCAGTTTTTAATTCAACCAATTACTCTCCAGTAATTACTGTTTATCTCGCAGACAAACATCAGTAATTGGTCTATTCCTTACTAAAAATATTTCATGGCGCACATAGGCAATGTATTCTTTCAACTTGAACGGCAATGTTCAGCTGTATCAGTGTTGCAATATAATTTGGAAACCCTTTTACTGCTCCAGCTGCATGCTTCATGACTTGCCAACTTTCATTTGTAACTTGAGTGCTATGTTTGATAACACTCTCCACCGCAGTCGCTCCCTTCGTAACTTTTTTATTAGCCTCTGTCAGAACGCTTGATTCTATTTGATGTCATTATGTTTGTAACCGATTATTTTCTCTGTCTTTAATTAGTGCAGACAGTCAAACCATGGAAGCGAAAAATGAGGTCAAATTACAGGCGGCCCAAGCTCCAGCTGTGAGATAATCATCTTGCGAACTAGGAGTCATAGCAAAATTATAAGAGTTTGTATGGGAATATTTACGACCGCTCTTAGGAATAAAAAAAAAAAAACTCAATAAAAATACCTCCCTTTACTTCCACAATGCATTGCTTATTGTCTGACCGCTTACTATGTTGAAAAGAACTCATTTTAGCGAGTTATTCATTTCTACGTTTACTACATAAGAGCTGAAGCCCTCTTATGTGGCAAACCTGAGCGGTCAGACAACAAGCAATGTACTGTGAAAGTAAAGTGAGGTACTTTCGTTGAGAATTTGACTGTATTTTTTTATAGCTATGAGCGGTCGTAAATATTCCCATTCAAACTCTTGTAATTTCGCCATGAAGATGATCATTTCTCAGCTGGAGCTTGGGTCTACTGTGGTCAAAAACAAGTTTTTATTGTGTATTACAAATTCTTCGTTAGCACAGGATTAACTTTATATAATTGAAAAAGCAACATCTATTAGGCTTCCTTTTTTTAAAGAGTTTTATTATATTGCTGTTTCAGATTTTACATGTTTTGGGCTCACCCTCAGAGAATACAGCTTTACCCTGAGCATTGTGTGTGGTGGCTTGTTCCCAGAGAACATGCAATCAAACAGTCTGACTACTCTTTCAGTTGCGCTCTTGTAAGACCAACTGGCACCTAGTCATTTGTGAAGAAACTGTCCGACGTTTTGGACCTTGAAAAGCTGAAGAACAGAGAAAACAATATAAAAAAGATGGATATCACTACTGCCTTTCACCGCATCAAAGACGTAAAGCCAGATCTAGCTTTAGTCCACTTTCTCTATTTGAAAATAATGATATCTCATAGAATTCATCTATTTGAGTTGGTCAGATAGCTATTGAGTTTTCGAATTCATATTATATCAACACATGCTTAAACGAAGTGTGTATGTTGTTACAACCCTGATATGTGGCTAAATAACATCGATGTCATCTTGGCTCTCAGTCATTTTAAATTCGAATTCCATGAGTGATAAGTTTACAGTTAGTGTGGGTTAACGTTTTCAGTGCGCTATTCGTATTATTCATTCCTCGACAGCGCCTTTAGATTTAGTAAATGATCAGCTTATCATAAAGCTGATCACCGTGTTCATCGTCCAAAGGCATATGTCAACGGTAGAACGGGCAAAAGTGTCGCAATAGATATCATTGCATAACACTTACGGCCGTTCACAACTTACAGCATGGAAATGTGACACGTTTTTGTAGACTCTCGCTGTGTCTTTAATTGCTGCATTGGTGTAAACTTACGGTGCAGCTTCCCGCATTAATACCAAGTAGGAAAACTAGACTCGCTGTGAGACAAAGAAAGGCCAGACTATGAGTTAATCTTATCAAATGTATGAGTAAAGTACTCGCTTTTTTCAAAAGCCCAGTGCAAAGCTCTGTCGTGTTATATTATTGCTCAAAACCGAATTGTAAGTTATGGTAGAGTGTCACTGAGCTACAGTGAAAATGATAAATTAAGCGTGTCATTGCCAAAAACATTACTGCACTCACAGAAATTTGCCCCAGACTTTCTAGAGGGTCATGGTTGTTATGTCACGGAGTGTAGTGACAATCGTTCTTCTTCTAAGGGATTCCCTCACCTGACAGTCAGACTACGGGATAGAATATGAAAGTCATCTTTGAAGGAATGTTAGACAAACAGCTATTCTTAAACACCGTAATGATCATCGAACAAGTGCCGTTGATGTTTGTAAAAGCCTAAGCACCGTAAAACCAACAGGATGTGATGCGAGTCATTAATTAGAATAGATGCTCGATGAATTTGAGTTCTTATCGACAAATATTGTGGTCTTCAGAGCAACGTATTTCGAAGTATTTGGAGGACGATGGAAGAAGCGTGGGGGAAGAGAGCGTCTTGCGTGGGGAAAGGAGCGTGTCGCGTGGGAATGGGACGTGATGTACCCAGAAGGACCGCTTCGAACAAACTACCTCGACCAGTTTTTCCCACGAAAGCTTGCGTAATATGCACTTAAATAGTGTATAATTGGTCTGTTCAATGGACCGTAAACAATGCGGCTTTTGATGCTGACAGAAACTTCTTTCATCAAAAGAGCACTGTTGCGTGAAATCTCAAAGAACAACTGTGAAGGAATCTCTATTAAGACCGATAAATCAGATTTAAAAGTTTACTCGACTTGATCTTTGGCGTTCTGGTACAAGACCAGAGGCACTCAGCGCTTTATCATGTCCCTAGGTTTGCTACAAAAAACGGTCATCGAAAACAGGTGACAGTTGTCGTCCGACATTAGGCAAGATTGTTTCTCTTTCGGTAGAGCTTTGTATTTTTACTGCTAGACCGTGTTATCTCTCTGGTGGGTGGTTTGATAATCACATTATTGACACTACCTGGACCGTGAAGGATAACAATAAATTTTTTGTCAACGGGTCTACCTATTTATAGATGCATCAGCTTGAAACAATACAAAATAATCTGTTCTTCATATGAACACGAGAGACGCGCTACCTTTGAAGTATTGATATTCAAATTTGTCGCCCCTAGACTCTGCGATTGCATGAACTTTGTATGAAACTAATTACCAAGCATTACTGTGACGCTAGTTAAAAGCAAACGTGCCTTCCAGAACATTTCAAAGATAATCCCATCTTTGCTTTCATAGCTAAAATAACCTAATGAAAAACTCGTCTTCCTTAACCATAGTAACTTATTCGGAATTCCTTTCCGATCTCATTGTTAGCACAACATCATTCAGAGGTGAGATAAAAGTGGCAGTCGTAGGTTTGACCATTTTCCTTTTTCTGTCAAAAAATTTTCTTTTCAGCTCTCATAAACATTTTGATAACCGCGACAAATAGAATAAGGGTCATGTGCCGTATAAATATCACGATTCAAACTTTGCTTGGAATACCGAGATACCACATCATTTAGAAAGCTTTCTAATGCAAATTAATTGGAATTACGAGCTCTCAAGCACGCGTAATTCAAAGTGGATCGTGCAAACCGTACTTTATAGCCAAACTTTGATTATTAAAGAAAAGCATGCTTTTGTGGTAAAAAGGTGCTAAAGGGTAATCCGACAAGATCAAGGTCTACCAACAGATTTGGGAGATGTTTTTCTTTTAATGCTGTGTTTTGTCAAAACAATTTTGTAATAAATCGAGTTTGACCGCAGGAATGCGAATTGACTCTAGACCATCCGTCACGGTTGGTCGATCAGAAAAAAGATTGAATTAAAGTAATTGGTTTTCTGTTACACGTTTTAATCTTTCTAGCCTTAACCAGCCTTAACCATCCATGATTCATTTAAGTTTATTCTGACCTTTTTACTTTTTCACCTCAGAAGCCTGATTTTTTTCATTTCTTTTCAATTTCCCGCGTCCTAAATACGACCTAGAAATCGCGTGATATATCAACTTCAGTTCGTCAATTTGCCGGCGGTCTATCAGATTAGTACGCCTCTAATTACAAGAACTATCGGACGTGCACTGTAGGATCACGAGGACCAATCACAAACAAGTTTCTTTTGTGCAAGAGAATGAAAATAGCTGTGGCTAAAATTTCGCTGAGCTGGCACGTGATAAAGGTGCTATGTTCCGTGAATGAGAACGTCAGTTTAGTGTACCTTACGCAACGCTAACACTGTGTCGTACTGGCTGACGTTTTGGCTGACTCTAGTTTTTGATCCAGGTAAGTAACTTTTCCAGTGTCACGTTTCAAGTCGCCACTTGTTATTAATCTTTTTTCGAATAAATTTTAATCAGCGAAAGCTCAAACTAGGAATTTTTTAACTTTGGAGCAAGGTGCGGTTGCATAACATCGGTGTCATATTGACTTCAAATTCGGTAATTGATCAGTACATGGTTTATGTAGTAAGACTTTTTGACGCACATCCCTCTCTATTAATTGTTATTCCGCAATTTAACAGCAGCGCGACTTCAGAATGCCTAAGACCTAAAACGTTGTACAAAATACCGTTGCATATTGACATCCAAAGTCATTCGAGGCGGCTGGTTCATTGTTCATAACTCAGTAATGCAGGAAAGCATTTCAGTAGCTTACGTAAAGCTGTACCCTCCCCCCCCCCAGGTGATACAGAAGGGAGGGGAGGGTACGGCTACACGCAGGCTAGCGTATAACGCGCGTTGTTGTTGACAGATCCATGACTTGAGTATGAGATCCATGACTGTTCCTGCACAGAAAATGAAAGTTCCGTGTAAGATGCAGTTACATAATATTGGTGACCTTCTGCTGCTAATTTCATTGAAAGCGATCGGTTAAAAGTTTCCAAGAGCAAATGTTTATGAATGTTTTACGCCCATACCGCCCTTCATTCCGGAATTGGTTAAAAAAAAACTTAAAAAAAAAAGACCAGCCTCTCCGTAAGTCGGGAAGATTAGGGAAAAAAAATGGCTTCCTTTTATGTACTGAATCACCACAGAAAATCACGATAACTGTAAAAATTGAGCAAGGCTTCTCAGTTCATTACACCCCTAGGAAGCTAATTTGCATTCGCATAAAAGGCAGCAAACATTCCAGATCGACGCTGTGCGATGTTATGCAACAGTATGTAAAAATACTGGCCGAGCGGAATACAAAATAGACTACTATTTCTGAAAACCCCATCGTTTTAAACTTGGCAAGGATGAGGGTCTCAATGGGGTGATGGCTTTTACGGCTAACGGTTAAAATTTTGGCCGATTTACGGCTAACGGTTAATGTCTTTCCATTGTTGTCACAGGAAATATTTTTCGGTTACCATTTTTTTACGATTAACAGTTAAAATTTGTCAATAATATTAGAGAGTTCTGGATTCAAATTTGATGTGTTAACCGCAAACGTCAAACCGCGGTTAGAAGTTAGACGTCTGGAAATTTTCAACTTTTTAGATCGACGTCGCTTTTCACCGACCTGTAAAAATCAACATGTGTCGCCATCTTGAATTACACAAAAGATGAAGGTTCTTCATTTCAAACACAAATTGTGGAAAAAGTTTGGTTATCTAGCGTCCCAAACGGGTTGGTTGAGAAGAAAAGATTTTATTTCACATACATTTACGGGACATACGTGAGAACTTTCGAACAGGAGGAGGAAAAGGGCCAAGGGAATGCTTATGACCCTCCTCGACAAGGCAGAGCCTTTAAGTTCGACACTTAGATAACTCGCCCTTCGACGCCTGCATACCAAAGCTATCACGAAGTACAAGTTTGCAATTGAAGTCTAAGGATATATTTTCATTAGCCACCAACATATAATGTGGCATATTTTCTTGTTTCCTGTATCCTACAGACGGTTTACGCTCTTCGGATTGAATTTAAGCCAGAATATTTTGCAGAGTAACATGTCCACCAACTCAACCAACCAAGACAACCAGGGAAACTTATCAGAAACTACAGCTGAAATCGAGAAGGTATCTAACATCATGCGAAACGACACTTTAGACGGGGCTTTTTAACACATCAGAACTGACCGAGTGAAAGTGGAATTAACTGTCAGGATAACTCTAATTAAACTGCCCTTTCTTCAAAGCTTCCGTTTCTAATGAGTCCTTTCTAGAACTTTTATTTTACTAATACGTCCTCTATATTCTACCTTCCTCACTCTAACAAGTCTCCTTATCTATTAAGTCCCACTATCTACAAAGTTACCCTCTCTAATACACCACTCTCTACTACTTCACCTCTCTTATACACCACTCTCTACTAATTCGCCTCTCTAATACACCACTCTCTACTAATTTGCCTCTCTAATACACCACTCTCTACTAATACACAAATCTCTACTAATTCACCTCTCTTATACACCCCTCTCTACAAATTCACCTCTCTTATACACTACTCTCTACTAATTCGCCTCTCTAATACACCACTCTCTACTAATTTGCCTCTCTAATACACGACTCTCTACTAATTTGCCTCTCTAATACACCACTCTCTACTAATTTGCCTCTCTAATACACCACTCTCTACTAATTCGCCTCTCTAATACACCACTCTCTACTAATTTGCCTCTCTTATACACCACTCTCTACTAATTCACCTCTCTAATACACCACTCTCTACTAATTCGCCTCTCTAATACACCACTCTCTACTAATTCGCCTCTCTTATACACCACTCTCTACTAATTCGCCTCTCTAATACACCAATCTCTACTAATTCGTCTCTCTAATACACCACTCTCTACTAATTCACCTCTCTAATACACCACTCTCTACTAATTCACCTCTCTAATACACCACTCCACTCTCTTATACACCACTACTAATTCACCTCTCTTATACACCACTCTCTACTAATTCGCCTCTCTTATACACCACTCTCTACTAATTCGCCTCTCTTATACACCCACTCTCTACTAATTCGCCTTTCTCTCTACTAATTCACCTCTCTAATACACCACTCTCTACTAATTCACCTCTCTAATACACCACTCAATCTACTAATTCACCTCTCTAATACACCACTCTCTACTAATTCACCTCTCTAATACACCACTCTCTACTAATTCACCTCTCTAATACACCACTCTCTACTAATTCACCTCTCTAATACACCACTCTCTACTAATTCGCCTCTCTAATACACCACTCTCTACTAACTTGTTTCTCTAATAAGCCCTTCTCTACTAATTCACCTCTCTAATACACCACTCTCTACTAATTCACCTCTCTAATACACCACTCTCTACTAATTCACCTCTCTAATACACCACTCTCTACTAATTCACCTCTCTAATACACCACTCTCTACTAATTCTCCTCTCTAATACACCACTCTCTACTAATTCCCCTCTCTTATACTCCACTCCCTACTAATTCACCTCTCTAATACACCACTCTCTACTAATTCACCTCTCTTATACACCACTCTCTACTAATTCACCTCTCTTATACACCACTCTCTACTAATTCACCTCTCTTATACACCACTCTCTACTAATTCACCTCTCTTATACACCACTCTCACCTCTCTTATACACCACTCTCTACTAATTCACCTCTCTTATACACCACTCTCTACTAATTTGCCTCTCTAATACACCACTCTCTACTAATTCACCTCTCTAATACACCACTCTCTACTAATTCGCCTCTCTAATACACCACTCTCTACTAATTCACCTCTCTAATACACCACTCTCTACTAATTCGCCTCTCTAATACACCACTCTCTACTAATTCGCCTCTCTAATACACCACTCTCTACTAATTCGTCTCTCTAATACACCACTCTCTACTAATTCACCTCTCTAATACACCACTCTCTACTAATTCACCTCTCTAATACACCACTCTCTACTAATTCACCTCTCTAATACACCACTCTCTACTAATTCACCTCTCTTATACACCACTCTCTACTAATTCACCTCTCTAATACACCACTCTCTACTAATTCACCTCTCTAATTCACACCACTCTCTACTAATTCATACACCACTCTCTACTAATTCACCTCTCTTATACACCACTCTCTACTAATTCACCTCTCTTATACACCACTCTCTACTAATTCACCTCTCTTATACACCACTCTCTACTAATTCACCTCTCTAATACACCACTCTCTACTAATTCACCTCTCTTATACACCCCGCTCTACAAATTCACCTCTCTTATACACCACTCTCTACTAATTCACCTCTCTAATACACCACTCTCTACTAATTCACCTCTCTTATACACCACTCTCTACTACCACTCTCTACTAATTCGCCTCTCTAATACACCACTCTCTACTAATTTGCCTCTCTTATACACCACTCTCTACTAATGTGCCTCTCTAATACACCACTCTCTACTAATTCGCCTCTCTAATACACCACTCCCTACTAATTCACCTCTCTTATACACCACTCTCTACTAATTCGCCTCTCTAATACACCACTCTCTACTAATTCACCTCTCTTATACACCACTCTCTACTAATTTGCCTCTCTTATACACCACTCCCTACTAATTCACCTCTCTTATACACCACTCTCTACTAATTCACCTCTCTTATACACCACTCTCTACTAATTCACCTCTCTTATACACCACTCTCTACTAATTCACCTCTCTTATACACCACTCTCTACTAATTCGCCTCTCTAATACACCACTCCCTACTAATTCACCTCTCTTATACACCACTCTCTACTAATTTGCCTCTCTAATACACCACTCTCTACTAATTCACCTCTCTAATACACCACTCTCTACTAATTTGCCTCTCTAATACACCACTCCCTACTAATTTGCCTCTCTAATACACCACTCTCTACTAATTTGCCTCTCTTATACACCACTCTCTACTAATTCGCCTCTCTTATACACCACTCTCTACTAATTCGCCTCTCTAATACACCACTCTCTACTAATTTGCCTCTCTAATACACCACTCTCTACTAATTCACCTCTCTTATACACCACTCTCTACAAATTCACCTCTCTTATACACCACTCTCTACTAATTCACCTCTCTTATACACGACTCTCTACTAATTCACCTCTCTAATACACGACACTCTACTAATTTGCCTCTCTTATACACGACTCTCTACTAATTTGCCTCTCTTATACACTACTCTCTACTAATTCGCCTCTCTAATACACGACTCTCTACTAATTCACCTCTTTTATACACGACTCTCTACTAATTCGCCTCTCTAATACACGACTCTCTACTAATTCACCTCTCTTATACACGACTCTCTACTAATTCACCTCTCTAATACACCACTCTCTACTAATTCACCTCTCTAATACACCACTCTCTACTAATTCACCTCTCTAATACACCACTCCCTACTAATTCACCTCTCTAATACACGACTCTCTACTAATTCGCCTCTCTAATACACGACTCTCTACTAATTCGCCTCTCTAATACACGACTCTCTACTAATTCACCTCTCTAATACACCACTCTCTACTAATTCACCTCTCTAATACACCACTCTCTACTAATTCACCTCTCTAATACACCACTCTCTACTAATTCACCTCTCTTATACACCACTCTCTACTAATTCACCTCTCTAATACACCACTCCCTACTAATTCGCCTCTCTACTAATTCACCTCTCTAATACACCACTCTCTACTAATTCGTCTCTCTAATACACCACTCTCTACTAATTCACCTCTCTAATACACCACTCTCTACTAATTTGCCTCTCTAATACACCACTCTCTACTAATTCGCCTCTCTAATACACCACTCTCTACTAATTCACCTCTCTAATACACCACTCTCTACTAATTCACCTCTCTAATACACCACTCTCTACTAATTCGCCTCTCTAATACACCACTCTCTACTAATTCGCCTCTCTAATACACCACTCTCTACTAATTCGCCTCTCTAATACACCACTCCCTACTAATTTGCCTCTCTAATACACCACTCTCTACTAATTCACCTCTCTAATACACCACTCTCTACTAATTCCTCTCTCTAATACACCACTCTCTACTAATTCGCCTCTCTAATACACCACTCTCTACTAATTCCCCTCTCTTATACACCACTCTCTACTAATTCACCTCTCTAATACACCACTCTCTACTAATTCGCCTCTCTTATACACCCCTCTCTACAAATTCACCTCTCTAATACACCACTCTCTACTACTTCACCTTTCTTATACACCACTCTCTACTAATTCACCTCTCTAATACACCACTCTCTACTACTTCACCTCTCTTATACACCACTCTCTACTAATTCACCTCTCTTATACACCACTCTCTACTAATTCACCTCTTTTATACACCACTCTCTACTAACTTGTTTCTCTAATAAGCCACTCTCTTATACACCACGTTTTACTAACTTGCCTCTCTAATAAGCCCTTCTCTACTAATTCGCCTCTCTAATACACCACTCTCTACTAATTAGCCTCTCTAATACGCCACTCTCTACTAATTCGCCTCTCTAATACACCACTCTCTACTAATTCGCCTCTCTAATACACCACTCTCTACTAATTCGCCTCTCTAATACACCACTCTCTACTAACTTGTTTCTCTAATAAGCCACTCTCTACTAATTCGCCTCCCTAATACACCACTTTCTACTAATTCGCCTTTCTAATACACTGCTCCGTACTAATTCGCCTCTCTAATAAGCGACTCTCTACTAACTCGCCTCTTTAATAAGCCACTATCTACTGATTAGCCTCTCTCATACACCACTCTTTTCTAATTCGCCTCTCTAAATTTAAATTTAAGAATGAGCCAAACAAGCTGAAAACTAGGAGACATTTTTCTTACAATCAACCCACAAATTTCGAACATTGGTGAATAAAGTTGAACTTGTTGTGTTCATTTACGGTCAAGGGGGCTCAGAATATGTCAGGTGCTAAAAAGACATTTTTACGAACGGAGATTTCAAGCTCTAGAACCAATCAGAACACGCGAACGTCTGAACGCATACGGTAATGCTGCCTTTGGTTATGAATATCATAGGTGCAGCAATTTACTGATTCCCTTTGATCTCAGGCTGCGATATACTCGTCCATCAAGTCTCTTGAAAACCTTCCGTTGGAGATTTGTGATGATCCTTTGCAAAGTATAGAAGAAATCGCCTTGAAAATCTTTGCTAACTCGATTGTCAGCGACCTCCTTATTCGCACATCTCGCCTTGACGTCTTTTCAAAAGAGCTGGCAAAATCATTCAGCGATGATCTGGAGTCCCTCTTGATGGTCAGGAAACTAAAGTATTTCTACAACCAACCAACTGGTGCAGTTTTACAGCAACTTGCCAGTCTTGTGCAAAGGTATGTAAATAAATCCATTTTCCTTTATAGCTTTTGTCATTCCTTAGTTTTGTTCTAGACGAGAAAGAAAATACCACAAATTCGAAGAATGGTGAACAAAATTCGATAACCAACACAAGCCTCGGCCTTCTTCGCTTGTGGCACTCTAATTAGTTTAGTTAAGTCAGCTACATAAGTTTTAAAAGTAAATATGTTCTATATATGATTTTATTCAAATTCGTTTTGAATCTAGGGGACAGAATAAGGAAATTAAATTTATCTGACTGCAATTCGATACATCAAAACGGAGGTTTAGAAATTTGTTTAGAGGTAATATTAGGTATTTCTGTCACACCCTTTCCAAGGAAACAAACGAAGAAATATGAAGGCGTCGATCAGTCTATGATTAAATATTTTTTAAGCAATGAAATCGTTTCAAGAAACCCATTGTATTACAATACTTTTAATCTAAAAGTTAAGACAATTTCATGCATGCCTTGGGAAAATCGCTCCTTCCTTTTTGTTGGCAGATCTTCAAGTAATACTGTGGTCATTTCCAAATGGAATGAGATGGTTAAGATGTTCATAGACGATAAGACATTGCGAACCATGCCTTTGTGCCGTTTTCTTCAAGAGACAGACTGCCCAGAATGTTACTTGGAGAACGCTGAACATCTTGAGAAGTTTGACCCACACGGCCTCTACCCGACGTCCATTTATGGAAGATGCGAAGGAGACGTCCTGGCCAAATCAGATGCATCCCTTGTCGCCTGCACTAGTAAATATACACTGACGACAACTGCTAAGATAGTTTACGAGGTGTTGAGCCCGTCCAACCCCGAGCTTAGAAACGTGTATCAGTCCATTGGAAGGTTTGTTACTTAGTCCATGTTACGCGTTATAAATACGCCATTAATTAAGTTTACTCTACCTTATAATATTTGTTATCTTACTGTTTTGTTGTCATTGGTTTTTACTAGGTGTGTGGCAGTAGTTGACAAAAATGTGGAAAAGATCTATGGCGCGGCTCTACAGACTTATTTCGATGAGTTCTCTATTGAGCTAAAGAAGCTTGTCCTTTCCGCAGAGGAAATCGACAAAGACATAGCCACTGTGCAGAGTACTTTGGTACTGTTAAAGAAGCTTGGCGTAAGAAGAAACGAGCCTATTTTAGTGGTCGGTAATGGTGTATTACACGACGTTATTGCCTGTGCTGCCTCTCTGTACCATCGTAATACACCCTACATCATGGTGTCTACAAGTGTTGTGGCGGCCATCGATGCAGGCTTGTCACCTCGCACTGGGTGCGATGGATTCGGCTTCAAAAACCTCTTCGGTTCGTTTCACCCCCCTGTCCTGGCGCTGACTGATAGAAGCTTCTTTCGAACCCTTCATCGCGGCTGCTTGCGCCATGGCATTGCCGAAATTGTCAAGATGGCGATAGTTAAGGATGAAGAACTCTTCTGCCTTCTCGAGCAGGAGACCTCCGCTCTTCTGTGGACCAAGTTTGGCACTGAGATGGAAGATTTCAGAGGAGATAAAAAAGCCTTTGAAGATGTTTGTGACCTGATTATTGGCAAAGCTCTTGAAGAGTACGTAGATTAGATCTATGAGATTGTTTAAGTAAGAAGTTGTAATATAACATAGCTAGCAGAGCCGCCCAATCAAATTGAGTATACGTAAGCGTGCTCAAAATCTTGATAGTGCACGCTGATAGCGTGAGCAAATCGCTTCGCCAGAAATTTTTTTTTCGCACGAGCGGCCATTGTTAGCGCGGGGAAAAAGAATATATTTCGCGACAATAATGGATACAAACAGAGGCTCGGCCCACCAGTCCCAAAACGAAGACAATTTTCCGACCTTTTCCCTTAGGGCTAGAGTTCTTAAATGTGGCAGAAAAAGAGAAAAACAACGGAAAAGGAGACTCCGCGAACAATCACTTCTGATATCGTTGTCCGTTTTTCGCGTCGGATTTGATGCACAACACCACCGGCCATGTTATAAAACAATTGGTTCATGCACTCAAGAAGCTAGAGTTGCCCTCGGCTATTGCCTCGGGCAACTCTTACGCTTCTTTCGTGCTCTCCAAACTTCTCACGTGCTCCATAACTCGATAGTGCACGCTAAAGCATGAACCAATTGTTAAGTAGTATCGTGACTTTAGAATCAAGTCAGCAGAATAGCGCGATTGATCTGATACTTTTAGTTTGGAGCCTTTAATTGAGATATCAAGTCAGAGAAAAAATCCTCAGAGTAAGGACGGAAATAGGCAACGAACTCAAACGAACTGTGAAGCTCGGTGTCCGTTGGCTTGTGCAAACTCTTGGTCAGTGGAGTTAAGAGAAAAAGTAGGCGCGCGAAATTTATCGTCACTGTTGTTCCCCTTAGTTCTCCCGCGTCTTATCATCGGATCGCCTTGCTTTTTCGCTTGTTCGTGCAGAATTTGTGATAGTTTTTCCATCTTTTAACTACTCGAAATGTAACAAATCTCTTAGGTTCCTAAATGAAATCCCTTGCGATCCTGAAATTTTGAGGAGAGAAATATTTCGATCAGTTGGTGAGGCTTAAATGGAACTATTCACATTTCTCTTGATTCTTAAAAAATGTCGTCTTTTGTAACTTTCTTTTTGGCTTGATAATGCAATCAAGATGACAAATTGAAAGGTGGTTTTCTCTATCCCTAAAAGTTTCACTCTTGAATAATTTATTACTTAGTTCCTCTCGTTGTATGTTGTCCTAATTTTCACTTTTTCGTTCATTCTAATTTTAGTTACATGAGATCGGAATACAGCAACATGTTTGAAACGCACCAATGTCGACCGCACGCGTATGGACACACATGGAGCCCTGGGTACGAGCTCCCTGGAGGAATGCTGCACGGTCATGCTGTATCCACTGGGATGGGTTTTGGCGCTTACCTTTCCTTCTGTAAAGGCTGGATCACACAATATGAGCTGGATCGAATTTTAAAGCTTCTCAGCGACCTTGAATTGGCTCTGTGGCATCCCATAATGGAGAATACAAAGCTCGTGTACAAAGGCCAAGAAACCATGATTGAGAAACGTGCCGGTAATTTGGCCGCACCTGTCCCTAAAGGGCTTGGAAAGTGCGGCTACATTAACAACATGCCTTATGACCTCCTTCAAAAGCGCCTTCGAGAATATCAGCAGATTACCCAGCATTGCCCCCGGCAAGGGATGGGAATTGAGGTCCATTGTGAGGATATTGGGATTAAGTGCCCAACTCCTATTGTAAACAACAACAACAACAACAACAACAACGACGATGGAGAAGTCCCAGTGGGTACAGGGATGAACGGTTTCCATTGCAATGGAGACGCAAAGAAGTATGAGAAAAGCTTCGCTTCTCAGGTGCCCTTGGAATGGCGGGAGAAAAATACCAACAGCCGACCTGTTAAATCACTCAGGTAGATTGTGCTTTTGATAGATTCAGGGAAGATCAGACTCAAGGGGCTGTAATAATGGTAAATAGATCAATAGTAATAAGCCAGGGCTGGAACAGAAAGTGGTGTGCCTGTCCGATCAGTTTTATTTAAGGGAAGGTTACCCCAACAATGCCTCTATCCACCCAGGATTGAAAATAGCGTTGCCACGAACAGTGATCAAAACTTTTAATCCAAACTCCTTCACGAATGCGACGAGAAAACTCGCACTTAATGTTTATAGTGTTAAACTCAACATCTATTTCAAGGTGAAAAAAGTACAACTGAACGACATTGAGAGGTTTTAACTTAGTGGCCTCTTGGCACCGTTCGAGGAGGCCAGCACCGCGCATGCACGAAAAATCAAATGTCCCGTATGCGATTCCAGGCGACGGCAGCGCATCGCGGCAAATATGCAGGGAGACTTGAAAAATAGTGGGAGGTGGGAAGGGAGGGTGGGGGAGTAACTTGAAATGGACTAATATCCCATCCAGAAGGAAAAGAAATAATCTTAGTCGCTTTATTTTTCGAAAACCGGAGCACAATTCGGCAGTGACGGCAAATTAAGGTGGCACTTGACTCAACCTTATAATCAATGCGCATATTCTTACTGGAGAAGTTACTTAGCGGGCCAGAAGGAATGCAGAATCGATCTATAACTTGTTACTGTGTCCATTATCAATAGAATGCGCACGAGTTTTTCGTCATAGGCAGGTAGAGCATTGGTAACTTTTGACGATGTCGAGGGAATCATTCAAAGGTGTTCTTCAAGGCTGGGAAATTAGACTTACTCTTCATAGTTACCAACATCACCTGAGGCCACCATTTAAACAAAAAATTCAGCTTGACACTCGTTCTTACTTCGACGGAACTGAATGTGAAAAGGTTTCACAAAGGCGCGCTATTTGCCTGACTTTTCGAGTTATGGTACTTATCTATCTTAATATTTTTAATATTGCAGGGCCTGAAGAACATGGAAGATAGGCGGTTAGAGTCCCACAAAGGAATGCTACTTTTTGAAATATTCTACGTAGAACACTTGCACGTTTTTTATTGTGAGTGTTAAGGCAAATGAAATAAAGTGGGTTTCTTTTTATAGCCAAATGACTGTATGTTGCCGACTCTACCTTGAAAATAAATATGAGTCCCTGCGAAATCATCTTCGTGGATTTCAATGTACCAATTCTTCATCGAAGGAACAGGGCGAATATTGAGAAAACGCTTTGACGAGCACCTCAGGGACACTAGGAGAAAACTTCCTGATATTTCTCTTCGCTGAGCATTTTAAGGTGGCTAAATCGATTTCACTAGTTTATAATACCAATTCTTTGAGGGAACGTTACTTTAAATTTTCTTTTGCAATCCCAAACGGAGACCAGCTCAGCAGCGGTTGCAACCAACTCGTCTCCCTTTACTGACTAAGGGTCAAACCCAAAACGTTTGGAAACCTTATTCCAAAACATTCTGTTTTCCTTTACGGTCAATCTTCTTGCAATGATGCAAAATTGTTTGTCTCACGATGTAGACAGACACTTTAAACGTGGATTGCGAGGTTTTAACTGCAATTTATGCACTAGCCTTATTCAGACAACGTCTGGGTGAAAACGATTTCAATCCATTTGTAATGTCTTTACCGCGATATGACCTCAGCCTTTTTCACCATATGCGTTCCACATGTGAACTTACTCAGAAATGGCATAGTTATTTGCTGAATCTGGAATGTGAAGGTCTACCTCAGTCAATGAGTTTATTAATTTCGTTTTTTTCCCTAATTAGAGTCCATTATCAACAGTCTCTTACACGACTTTCTCCTGTGTTTCGATGAGCAAAGGTTTCCATTAACGTATCTTAATTCCTGAGACATTAAAATGCAGTGATAACATTGTGTTCGTGCTTACCCAGTCACATGAAGGCAAAACAGCTCGTTCATCCCAAGAGTTGAAGGTCGCGAATTTTCTCTGCATTTCATTCAATTTTCGGAGCGCGAAGAACGTACTTTTCACGAACACATCGTACGGCGAAAGTTACGTACTTATTGGCTCCCATTTTTTTTCGTTTCTCCTTCATCAAAGGAAAAGAAGAGAAATATGTAGTCAATAATCAGTGCCGTAGCAGGGTTAAAATTATTGGGGGGGCCTAACCTTCATTTTTACTGTTCTACTCTTGTGTTCAATATATATTTTTTGGAGTTTGCCAAATTATTGGGGGGGCCCGGGCCCCCCCCGCCCCTCCCCACGCTACGGCATTGATAATGGCTGTTACAAATAAGCTCTAAATATAAGTTGCCATCATTCAGTTTTGTTTCTTCGAAAAAGTCAGCCTCGGTTCGGTGAGTAAATTACTTCCTGTCTCGAAGTGGCGCCAATTCAATTCACCCAAGCTGATTATTTATTCACGACAAGAGTTGAAGGTCGCGAATTTTCTCTGCATTTCATTGAATTGAAAATTATCGGATATCAGGCCAGTGTAAATATCTGCGAGTCACGCCGCTTTATGCTTGAGAAAACTCTTTGTCATGGCACCCACGGAGGAACCGAAAGTACACTTATCGTGAAAAGGAATGGACGTTTTTTAGTTTTACAGCGTTTGACATATAACTCAGCTGTGCTTAAGTCGATTTCTTGCGAAGTTTGATTGTTGTAGGAAAACGACCGTAGAGCTCTTAGAAAAGCCGTGTCGTGTATAAGTCAACGTGGTTTTCTTCTCAGTGTTTCGTTTACTTAATTTGGATGAGAAAAGGAACTTTTTGCGAAGTTTCTAATCAAATAATTGAACAACATCCGTGAAAAGATGTCCAGTGACAATAGCGCTCCAACTGCTCCCGGCGAGGGAATTTCAGCTGCTTCGGTCGCCGCGGCCTCCTTCTCGTCGGATTCTTCTTCGCAATCTTTGAATTCACAAGGTACGTTTAAAAATTTTACCTCAACCTTTCCTGCAGAAGCTTCAGGATTTATTTTCTAACCGTTGAGGTTTTTTTCTGTCGCGTAGGTTTTGAAATGTAATGGTTTTCGGTTCTGTTACTGCATAAATTAACGCTGTCTTTCTAACAAAAGGTTGTTTGTACGTTTTTTTCCAGCTTTCGAGGTAGTGATGGCTACATTTTAACCTATGTACTTGAAATGATTTGAAAATACCTTAAATTGAAGTAATTTTTGTTTATTACTGTGTCATTTCGGTCGAGTTTCGTCGCGTCACAAGGAAAGCTTAGCTCTTTACTCAACACGTTTCGAGGGGCTGCCTATGTCACGTTTTCTCTTCAGGAGAGCAATCCCAATCATCGCCCTATTCGTAGACAGGCGATATGTTCAGCGGTGCAAATACGTAATATTATGTTCGCAAAGATGCCGTGTAATATGGTGGCCGTCGTTGGTGAGCTTCTAGTTTAATATCGTGATGTACGAGAAAACGGGTGATGTTTGTCACTGTGAGATCGCATGACACGAGGAGTAGATAGAAATTTGCATACGGATGCTCCATGTTTACAACACCTTTTAGCCCCGTTCACGAAATAAGTTGCATCTTTTGAAATATTTTTCAAACTTACGCGTTAAAATTGATTAAACGCCGCAAGAGCGTCAATTTTATTTTTATAACAGTGAATGCTCTGATTTGCGATCGATTTATGTATCTCGCGTGTTTGATTCGATCAGTGTCGATGTCCCTCGGTAAACATGCAAATGAAACTTGTTATTGAAATATTTTAATTTCTGCATCGCTTTCAGCGGCAAGTGAAGTATTTCTATTCACAAGGCGAAGAAGAGAACAAATATTCCTCATCTATTCTAAGCTTATTTTACTAATCTTTGTCCGCCCAGGTGAAAAATTTGAACGATAATTTAGTAAGAGAACTTGCTCAAATTTTAAATTTTTTCCTCTCACTGCATCAAATACTTAACAGTCGTTTCGGTAATATGAAGGTTCTTGGTAATGCACTGGGCATGGTATTAATCCAATGGCAAAGTAGCAAACATACCTTTTGACATCAGAGGATCATAGTCTGTTGATTTAGGTCACACAATTCTTGCAGGGACACAATTTTAACACATCAAGGGTTTTTTTTTATCTCCGTTTGTTTGGCTACCGAATTACCACAGTGCAGTATTTATTTGGCTGGCATTCAAGTGATTGAAGAGTGGACATTGAAGAATAGTTATGACAAAATTAGGTAGTCTGTATAAACTTTCATGTGTTATACAGATCAATATTTGTTGTTGTTGTTATTGATGTGACTAGTAGATTGGATCCTTGTCAAACTTTCACTATGTATAGTGGACTTCCTTTGAGGGTAAACCCTTGGGAGTATAAGAAGAGTCCCTTGTAAAGAGGTGACCCCTCCATGGAGGAGTATTTACAGAGAAGATTGTGTTCCCTGAATAGAAGTGTTGAAAAAGAGAAGTTTTGCTGGAGATGGTTTGATCACCTACAAGCTCTTTATGGCTCAGTTAGTAGAACAGTAGAACTGCAAAATGGTTAGGTCTGACTCTTGAGTCTTTCAAGGAAACCAAAAGTTTCCTTTTTGTCCCACACGTGCAGCAGCTCTCTTTTGATCAATTTGTGACTGGAAAAGAAATCTGGATACAGTAAAAAAATGTTTGCTCATGAAAAGAAACCAGATGTAGCACAATTAAGAACATTTTGTTTAAAGATCATTCTGTTCTGTTATATACAGCTTCCAACTTTGGAATATGTATGTTAGATATTAGTGCAGTGGATGAGAAGGGAGTTAATTACAAGTTGCTGCTAGTCTTAGACTAATACAAAAAGTGCAAACAAACTTTAGTGTTTATACTTGCAGTTGGTCTAGCTCTAATTTATTAACAAGGGAAAATGCTTTTTTATAAAATGGACATGTCAAGTTTATACCTGTAACCTGCAGTGTATATCCTTTGTATAAATGCCTCACATAACAAGCCCAAATTGCATTAGGCAACAGAAAAATTTTACAATATTATCTAACTTTAAAATCATGCAAAATTATGGTCTGTGTTTAACATTTACTCAAATTTGTTACAGAAAATGCTCTGCAGTGTTCTGAATCATTAGTGTCTTCAGGACCATCAGATGATAGTCAAACCGATTCTCAGGCAATCTCTCTGGGTGGGAGTGTGTTTACAGCCATCCAGTTACCAGCAAGAGCTGGCAATGAAGTAGGATCAGGTACGTGTTCTTGAAGCTTGCTAGCAGAATATGAGCACCATGGCACAGAAGTGGTAGAACCTTGAGGGTCTTACTGGGTCATCAGTAGATGGCAGCAACCTGAGATTTATCCCTGTGTATTTGAGTATTCTAAGTGTTTTTCTTTATGTTTTAGTTGTCATACTCTTTGTTTCCTCATTATTCATCACAACTACCTGCATCAGGTTGAGAGGACACCTACTTTAAATCTCACTGAGAACACTGGGCTTTGCTCCAAATTTCTCATGGACGTGTCTCATGCAGTATTGCTGCACATGCAAGGGTACCAATAAGAACCTGTGTGTAGGATACCATAAGGCAGCAAATTGATGATCCCCACTAAAAATTAGATTTCATTAAAACAACTTTTTCTCTTGACTAAATGTTTGAACGTGTCCTTTAGTAGCATGTCGTAATGATGTGGGATATTGATCAAATGAAGCCTTTAAGTGCTACTGTGGTTCTTTCTTTATTCACTCCAAGCTTTCGCCATTCTATGGCATCATCAGGGATCATCAGAGGGCATCATCAGCTCCCTGATGATGCTGTAGAACGGCGAAAGCTCGGAGTGAATAAAGAAAGAACCACAGTAGCACTTAAAGGCTTCATTTGATCAATATCCCACATTTTTCTCTTGATTTTCTGAAAAAAAATCTAATCTCCATTTGCCTATTTTAGTCAACTTATTCTACCTCTCTTCTTAGCAAAGCAATCAAAACCCTATCAGGTTTGAGTATCTACATTTTTGTAGCACTGGTGGTAAATTCGCTTCTGGGGTATCATTTTCTGCTCTAAACTAGATTAAGTTTGCTTAACTTATTTCTTATTCTTTAGTCTGGTGGACCATGTTATTGCCACAAAGAGCCAAACAATCCAAAAAAATTTTTAAGGCTGTACTATGGGGTGATTTTCTTTTTTAACCCTTTAAAGAGTGACTAGCATCTAATTTCTCCTTACAATATCACCCCTGAATCACACATTAAGGTCACGAGAATAAAGGAAATGATCACCAACTAAAGAAGCTCTTGATTGTTTGACAAATTCTCCAGGTCACCACCTCAGCAAATGCACAGAGAACAGTTTGGAGAATAGGTATACTCATGTAAGGGTGTAAAAGGTTAAGGATCATGAGACACAGGGCAATAAAAGATCTGTACAGAGGTCAATAATTGATGAGCAGTGTGCCAATGTTTGACAAACACTCAATCTTTACTTCAGTTGGCAATTGTTATGTTCAAGATAATGGCAGATTAATGAGAGAGAGGTGGAGATATTTAGCAACCATGGGCAAGCGTTAGTCAATCACTGGCATACTCATTCAATTATTGGTAAACCATCAGGGGGAAGGGAAATTTCTTGTTGAAGTGAAAGGGTCACAGATGTGTACACATAAAATCAGGTTATTTACTCTTCCATGACAAGTATGTATAAAAATAATATATTTTTGCCAACTTTCTTTTCTGGATTAGATGTGTCAACTTCTGATAGTGGTCTAGGCAAAGATGCCTGTGATTCCGAGGCAAGAGTTTCTGCTCCAACACTGCCTTTTGTGCCCCAGTCACACCTCATTGACAAGTTGCCAGTTCCCGCATCAAATGGTTTACACTACTCTCCTGGACTCCTAGCAGCCAGTAACCTTTCTCAGTTGGCAGAGTTAGCTGCTAATAAGTCTGCTATACATCAAACTCCACCAAACACCACCCAGCTATCTGCACAGCCCATGCAACCACACCTCATTGGAAACCAAACTAGATTTGTCCTTCCTGGACAGGGAATACCTACTCCTATCATTGGGACATATCCCTCAGGAACTTTGATGCAAGTACCAGGACAATATCAGGGATTTCCCCCTGTCCCTCATCAGGTGCCTCCACCATTCATTAAAGGTTCCAACATTCAGCTTACTACTGGTGATGTAAAGAGAGTTGAAGACCTTTCCACAGAAGATTTCATTCACAGTATCAGACAGAGTCCTGAACTTAAGCTAGAGACAAGCACTGTTGTAAAAATTGAAGATGGAACAGAACCTGGAAGCACTCATATTACTTTCACTATCAACAGTTCTAAAATACAGGTAGAAAGAAATAGTGATATGAAATTTGTGGTACAAAACTGCTCTTAGAAGGTCCAATCTAGTTTTAGATGAGTTTCAGTATTTCTGAAAAGTTATTTTTATGTACATCACAAAAGGTTCATAATTTTCCACTTCTAACTTGATGCATTTAGAAGGTTTTGCCTGAATATCTTAAGTGAAAACTTGAATCTTAGTTTCTACACAGTCCTTTTATGTTCACTTAGATCATCATCCATGTTGCAAACTAAGAAAAAAAGCAGTGGCAGATTTAGGGAATGTGAATGCGGTAACTGTTACAAGAAGAGACTGTGGACAGATTGCCACTGTTTTACGCAGAAACATGGTGGCTTAAACACACCACTTTTTACCTATTATCATATAATTATTAGAGCCATGCTGCACCTATGTACCCTTCCTAGACAATTCTGTGCAATAATCTGATTCATGAGCACTCCTTAGTGTGTGGTCATGAACAAACCTGATCAACGTGTAAAACTGATCAGTTATATGATGACTTTTTTTTTTTTTAAGGTGATTCTAAACTGTCCTGTAGAGCATCCATTTTTCGTTTATGGTCAGGGGTGGACATCAAGCAGTCCAGAACAGTCCTCAACCAAGTACAACCTTAACTGCCAGCAGTTGAAAGTTGGTGATGTGTGTATTTTTCTCTCTGCATCCAGTGCCCCTAGTATTCCTGGTGGGCTTGGATTTTCAAGTTCACCAGCCATTCAAGTGAGTGGAGCTGGTTCTACTCTAACACAATCTGCTTCAGTAGTCTTGTCAAGTGCAGTGAAGTCTCCATCTGTGAGTAGCAGCACAGGACAAACAGTGACTTCTGTGTCAGTGTCGTATGCCCAGACATTGCCTGGAATTGTAACCTTACCAGGAAACATACCTGGGGTTGTTGTTACTTCATCAATGCCACCTGGCATTCCTGCAGTGTACCCAGGAAGTTTTCCCTCAGCCCAAAATATTGGCCAGGGGAAGGTTGCTGGACAGAGTGGAACTGACAGGTCATCTGTTCCACAGCCAGTACAGGGGTTCACACCTGATGGAAAACCATCAGAATCTCCACATTCCACTGCAGCAGTACCAGGAGGTTTTCCTTTGTCTGGGGCACCTTTCTACCAACCACTTACAGGAACATTTATGACGGCTATGCCTCCAGGACAAACATTTGTGCAAGGAACTGTTATGCCACAGGGTTCTGTGGGAAATGGTCTGCTTGTTGCTGCAGTTGGTTTTGTACCAGGGAGACCACCAGCACCATTTGTTCAACCTGGAATGCTCTATGGCTCCACACCAATGGAAATGCTACAAAAAGGAGGCGACAGCAAACCAGAAGAATATTCACAAAAGGAAAGGACTGAATCACAAACTGAATTGTCACAACCTGATGCCAAGAGGGCAAGAGGAGAAACAGAAGTAAAATAGACCTTTAATTTGTGAGTGTTTTTATAGATAAGAGAAAATCAAGGGGACTGGAAAAGAGATATTGTTATATAAATGTATATTATATATATATATAAGAAAAATGTCTTATAACTTTTATTTATTTGTAGGTAAGGCAAAAATCTGAAGTTGTCTTTAGTCATACCAACCATTAACGAGGATAGTAACATTTTGTGTTTTCTTAGCAAAGAAGTGTCCTGTATTAAATCTTGTAAATGTTGTGTTCAATCTTGCTGTAAGCACCTATTCTCCACTATGATTTGAAATGGCTTTACAGTATAATTGATTTAGTTCAGTGGAGTAAACACAATCTGAGGTACTTGTAAGTATCATAAGGATATTTAAAAAAAACACTTCATAGTTAAAAAAAACCTTCATCCAATCTTACTGTGGTCATTTGAATCATTTTATTTAAAAAAAAAGTAATTTTTTTTTCTTTTTATTTGGTATTGTTTTCTTTTTATTTGATATTGTTATGCTATTTACTATTTTTCAGTCAGAGACCTTACAAATAAGTAGTGATAAGTGTCACACAAAGTTTAGACCTCAAAGTGGGTCATTCCTGAAAAAATATTTGCCAACTCTTAATGGTTAAATTTCAACACAAAGTAGCAGAAAACTCTCTCTGATTGGTGTGATACTTGGAATTTCTTCAAGCAAGGAACCTTATCAAACTACTGTAGCTGGATTAGCTATTAACAATTGATGATACAACTAGTAACAATTACAACTAATTAAGTGTGGAACATAGTACTAAACAGGAGTGGTAGCCTGGCAGAACTGCCTACATCAAGTTACGGACACCAAATTGCAGAATACTTTGAAGAACATTCTATTAAGAACTTGACAGATATCTAATATTGAGGTTTGAGGGAATGTTGTGAATTCAGAATTATGTCTATCCAAAACATATTTTGAAAGAGTTTCATCTAACCACACATGAAGAGCAGAGTAAGTTGAGGGGTCAATTACAGTGATGTTTGATAGGGTGTAAGTAGTGTCAGTGATAGGACCAGTTCAAGCTCAAACGAATATCGATAGATGCATCATAGCTTTGCCCTAAGAAGGACCTTTGAGGGCTCGTCTGTTTTGCAACTTGGGTGTCTAGCTCTCAAATGCTGTTGTGCAACCAAAGTTATGAAGGTTGCACAAGGACTGGAGTTGGTGGCATGTGGCTCTTGGGCTCTGCTGGACCACTTCTTTGATACAAATATTCTTAAAGTTAGTGGGAAGTGTAAGCTACAAGCCATGGTTGAGATTGCTTTTTGAGTCTGATTGTTTGAGAGGATGCCAGACTTAGGAAAAGTGCAACTCCAGATTATACTCAATAATCATCAATTGAAAATGTTCCTGTTTATTTATTTATTTTAGGATAAGTGTTAATGAGACAGTTTTAAAATAGTAAATGATTACTAAGTTATTAACTTACTGATGGTAATTGTGTTTGATATGATTTTGTAAGTTTGGGTTTCGTAAATGTGCTAGCAAGAACTAAAATATGTTATGGTTAACTTATTTCTTGTAAGCATGTCTTTGAAGCAATATGTGTTGAAATTTTTAAAATCATTTTAAGGTTTTAACTTTTGCTCTCAAACAGATTTTATCACTTTCTTGTTAAAGACACTTTAACAAGTACAACACAACACTAACAGCTGACATGACTATCACTTCAGGTCTCTTCACTCAAAGTGAAACCAACACATTAGTATTTCAGTTTTGTTTTAAACCTATTGAACTGTAATGTAGCTAAGGTTTTTTTTAAGTGGTGTTTTGATTGCTAATATTAAAAGCATGTTCTTTACAGTAGTATTCTTTTCTTCAAGAATTGAAAGTTTGTAATGTTGATTTAGTAGAAAGCCCCATTTTATTTTGCTATATGTTTTCCAACTTAACGGTGATGCAATTTTTTTGGTTGCTCAGCATGTATAAACCATGCCATGACCAATCCAACTCTTGTCACTCATTTGGAAAGAAAGGCTAACTTCCAAACCTGGTTGCATAGGATTTTCACACTCAGAGTTTGTCTGTTTAAAATGAGTCTTAAAGGCACTAGGACTTAGATTGTGCTGTAAGGAAAAATTGAGTCGAATTGTTGTTCAAGTTGACTTTACATGCACAACATATCAGGGAGATAATATACCTTACTGAATTTTAACTCATAATGTACATTCTCAACTGAAATTATTTGTACACTACCAACTGGAGGGAAACAGCTTTAGGCTTGATTTCAGCTCATTCCTCTTCACTTCTTTCTGAGGTATCCCTGGGAAGGAAGAGGAATGTGGAGTCACAACTAGAACAGAGGCTGGTATTGACAATGACTAGTTCAAAATGGGGGTTTTTTCTTAAGTTTTGCATTGAGCCAAACAGTTGGATTGTGGGTGCAAGGGAGGTGGTGCAAAAATGAAGGATGCAATACTGTTTAATCACCAGAAGTGGACAGCAGTCAGTCAGAGAACATACATAAATGGGTTTTGGCAGGCTGCCCAGCAAATTTCCCACCTTAAGATCGGGCAATGTGTGGAAAAAGAAAAAACCACCACACAAATGAGTTTAGGTGCTCATAAACATCTGCATAAGGAAGAAAAAGTTGGGAAAAGGAAAGCTTATGAATCTATGGTTGAGTTTATTTAGTCATGGGTGTTCTGTTCATTTAGTATTTTGTCTTGAAGTGTAGGACGTAGGTCTTACAAGAGGTTGTTTATAATTCCCGTTTAGGAAGTTTGGTTGTGTCAGATTGAAAGCACTATTAAACTGCCTCTCGATGGTTTCAGTGCTCACACATTGCATCTGCCCACTGTGTTGTTTTCAAATCACTAAACTCTTGGTGATTAAAAATTGAAGGTTATCATTGTTTCTTTACGAATACCTTTATTGAACTCCACTGTCATTACAAATTAATGCAAAAAATATTCCAATAACTAAGTACTTCATATTGGAGTGTATTACCTTCAAATACTTCTACATATCTTAGTTCCATTTTTGTTTCATGAATGTGATAACAGGTCCATATCTCAGTATCAGAACTTTTAAGAAATAATCCTTTAGCTATGCCTTATGAATTTGTTCCATGGTCACAACCCAGTGGTTCACAAGTATAGGATGGGTGCAAACCTTGTCAAAAATGTTTCACCATAAGAAAGATTGGAGTGAACCTCTGAAACACTCATGCTGATTAGAGAATTATAAGCAACACATTTAAAGTGGCTACCTAAAAGTACAATCAACAAATTACAAAACATTTGTTTTAGAGCTAGGACTAACACCTTCAACCCATTACACCCACAAATCAGTATGCATACTGTTTTTTCCTGTTCTTCTGACAAATAGAATTTGTTTCAGGATATTCTCCTCCTCACAACTTTAGTATTTGATTCAGCAGTGATATTGTAGGAAGAAATTAAATACTAGTCACCCTTAGAGATGAAAGGGCTATTCTTTCATACTGTTGTCTGCACATCCTTAGAGTTTATTCCTCTAAATCTATTATTTAGTTTGACTTTTCTTTGAAGCCTGGTTTCACTCATAAATAAATTATTAAAACATAGTGTTATTTCTCCATATCAAGCATAGTATCAAGCAAGATTGTTTTTCATCACGAATCACTGCCTGATCTCTGATTTTCCCACATACATACAAATACATGCACAAAGAAGGAAAATATGAAAAAATATATAGTAATTAACAGTAACTTTAAACACCTTGCATCTAGTTCAAATTACCATTTTAACAAAAATTCTCATAAATTTTCTTCTACAGAAAATAATTTACAGTCTAGTAATATGGAAGTAAACCTCCATTGAAGGTAAAATGAACAATAGACTTCAAAGAAGACTTAATTGCCTTCTCAAGGTTTCTCTTAATTACTATGAGAAGACATTGTTCAGTTGCATGGTAACACGTATGAATGTAGTCCTTCTTGGAAGCTCTTTTAGCTTCTCAGCTCCAACATATGTGCATGTTGACCTCACACCACCAAGAATGTCTTTGACTGTGTCATGAACATTGCCACGGTAAGGAACCTCAACTGTCTTTCCTTCTGAGGATCTGCAAGGTAAGTTAAAAACCAAGCATTTCCTCTGAATCTGAATAAATAGCTGGAAATATTTCCTTAACATATGAGCCCACTAAAGAGCCAAACAAACAAAGATGTTCCTATGATTCAGTTAGTGGAGTATCAGAAGCTCAGAGGATTAACTCCCTTCCTATATTCTTATAAGTGGCACATGTTTGACATTTTTCCTTTTTAAAGACTACACAAAAATTGACCATCGTTGTGTCTATCCATACACTCAATATCTAGCAAACCAACAACTCAGTTGATCAAGTGGCCAACCACAAAAATAAGATAGTCAGTTCAAGGTTCATATCCTTGTGGCCTTTCAGATTGTTTGTGTGCCACTCTCATGACAAATGTTTCAGTGCGTCTTTGATTAATATTTCCTTGTGTTAAATAAAACTTATGGAGAGAGTTTGCCATGACAGGGTTCTTTTTTACTTCAGCACCAGGGTAAAACCTTGCATCACTGACAAAGAGCAAGAACAGTATTTACATCAACAGTTATGTCAACTGATGATTTTGAGCCTACAAAAACATATCTCTGCCCCAGGAACATAAAATTTTCAGTCAAAGAAATTAACAAAATAATACATTATCAATAAATCTATTAATTAAATATGTGACACTACATTATCACTCTTCCACATCAAGAAACTAGGCTTCAGCACACACATTCATTGGCTAGTAACACACTCTTTCAGATTATTAGATCCTGATAGGATGATTGGTATGACAAGGCAAAATGGCTACTTATTTTAGAATGATATTTAACCAGTGTCATTCTTTCTCAAAGACAAATATTTTCAGGCAAAAGAGTAGCAAGTGTATGTGAGGTGCTTTGACACAACAAACTCACCGGTAGTTGGCCACCCCTCCTGCATGTTTTTTCATTGCAGTTGTTGAACTCATGCCATAAAATATTTTGTACTGCTTTCCATCCCTTTCAATCAATTCTCCACCTGATGAATAAGACATTTTTGCAAATGCAAGAAATTATCAACCTCTCAGAAGTTAATCAGTGGTTGTTAAGTTTTTATCCAACAGTAAAAATGAGTTATCCTTACAATGATTCTGTCAAAAAATGTCAAGAATTGCTGGCTTTAAAGTGCCACACCAAGGCTTAGTGCAAAAAATAATAGACATTCATAAGTCAATCAACAAAATAGTTGTTGACATAAAATGTTGCTGTATTTTTAAGACTGTCATTTGCAAATGAAAGTAAGGATCATGCTTTACTTACCAGACTGATCATGGCCAGCAAACATGCCTCCCATCATGACAAAATCTGCACCAGCACCTGAGGTCACACATGAAACAATGTTATGAAACATGCAGGTTCCATGTAATAAGTGTATGAAAATAAGAATTTGCTCCAAAACAAGTTGTTAATTTTCTTGTTTGGAAAGGAGTGGGGAGTTAAGTGCATGAATCATATAATTTTTTTTCTCAAAATAATGTTGAAAACCCATTTACCAAAAGCCTTTGAGACATCACCGGGACATGTACAGCCTCCATCCTGAAAAAAAAAAAATCAAAAAAGAGAAAAAAAGTAAAAGAAAAAAATTTTTTTGAACAATTAAATAAAGTCCACAAGGTATTCATAAGGAAAAGGTATCACTGATCAGAAAATTCTCCATCTAAATTTTGATTGTGTAAGCTACTTTTCACTCGGGCTTGGACAACATTCTTGCCTCACCAAAACTATTCTCCCACAACAATATATATTCATGGACAACTAGAGTCCATGTGTAGCAATCATTACCAACTTCTTGCCTAGTGGCTTGCATTGCAGAGTATTATTTCCAATAAGGTCTTAAACAGAGACAGACAAGCACTTAACACTTAAACAGATGCCAGAAACAAGAAATCTTTGTGAGGATCAGGTTTCTCCACAAGGAGATTCTGTAACATGCTGTGGATAAAATTTCCTCCACAACAAAAATTCTGCCTACAACTGAAAAGGGTTAGCAGGTGTATTAATTATAAAATACACCAAAAAAGTGAACATACAGAGATGATGTGTCCTTTAAGGCCATGTGCAGCATCAGCACATTCTAAAACTGCACTTAGCTGAGGGTATCCTACACCAGTCTGCCTTCGTGTAGTGCAAACAGAGCCTGTGACAAAATAGTCAGATAAAGTGTCAGTTACCTAAATACTTTCAAATATTCTGCTAGGCAACAGTTCAAAGTCTCATGGAAGACTGGTAAGGCTGTGAGTTTTTTTTTTCTTTTTCTGTTTCAGTAATCATAAATTCAAACATAGGGCTACTACATGACAGAAATCACCAATACATTTTGTGCAGCTCTGGTGAGGGGACATCCAACCTTGAACTCCATTCATAAAGTCTCTGATTACAGAACTGATTTCTAGTTTTTCTAGCTGAAGACAGCAAAAGATGAATGTCTCATTATATAGTACTAACCAGGTCCAATGCCAACCTTGACGATGTCAGCTCCATTGAGAATTAACTGTTCAACCATTTCACCAGTCACAACATTTCCTGCCTAATGGTACAATAAAATGGTACCAAGAGATTCAAGTTGTTATTTCCTATATATAATTGCAGGATGGTTGAGAAGATATCTCAATGACAGGTTTTTCTAGTACAGTGGGTCATTTCTGAGATGCCTGAAGCATCTGCTTTAAAATGAGGCAACATGCTTTATCTACTTCACACTACATTTCACTTTCTTACAGTCTCAGGTAACAAGATTCTACTATTAAATATAGAACATTATTCACATTACCTACCATAATGATGTGGTCTGGAAAGTGGCTTCTTACAGTTTTAACAAATTCCACAAAATGTTCAGAATAGCCATTGGCAACATCAAGACAAATTGCTGGTATATCTGGGACAGCTTCCAGAACCTGCTTTAACTTTGATAAATCTTCATCAGACATTCCACAACTCGCAATTGTATACTGAAAAGTAAACAAGCAAACAACTTGAAGTATGATTATTGGAAATCCAGTTATCGAATAACCCTTGATCACTTTATTATTGTCAGTTATAGTCTTCAATTTATTTGCTGCAATATTAACTAAGATATTTTCTGAATGTTAGCATACATGACATTTGTTGTTGTTATTTCAATTAAAATGGAAGTCAATTTTTAGTCAAACTGGCAACCAGCTAGTTTTACTTAAATGGATTCTGAAATGAGATTAGGTTTAGGGAAAGTTTATTTGGCAGAGAGTACTCTTTCTGTGTTACTTTCATCAGAGTTTTGTGACTCCATACTTAAAAAAGTTAATAACCATTGAACAAATAAGAAACTATCATGGCTTGCCATGACAGTCCTCAAGTCTTTTAAGGTTGCCTTGATCTATGATTATGAGTAAAAAACCACACAAACTGTGTGCACTGAGTAAATCTGTCTAAAATTTCTAGAAAAGGAAACTGGGCTGTCCAAGAAGTATCTTGCATGGCTCACTTCTGCTTTTCACTTTGACAGAAATTTGAGGATTGTGTTATTTCAAGTGATATGTTTTGCTGGCTTTTATTTGGAGAACAGAACTTAGAACTTACAGGCAACACTTTGGCATGGTCTTTTGCAAATTCCTTCCAGTCTTCCACAGAGTAATGTTTGTGAATTGCTGTCAAAAGTTTGTGCTGGAAATTGAATGCAAAGTATTTGTTAATGTGATAAATTTGAGCAGGAAGAGGGAAGGGGGGTCTAATTCAAAGATTTCCTACATCCTACTTAAAAATTACCCAGCCCTCTACACAAAAATTTTCACAGTTAAATGGGAGCTAAGAGAGAACTCCTGATACCATTTATATATTTGACAAATGAAGGCCAATTACACTCTAGGATTACATAAAAATAGGAATATTTACTTTTCCATTTCTTTTTTCACTATGAGATAAGTCTAGTTGTATGATTTTGGTATCCAATAACACTGCTCTTCAGTTTTCTAATCTTGAAATTTGGTTTTCCTTTTTGTGGCTACCACCTCCCATAGCCACACATGTTATTAAAATGAGTGAGTGATGGTAACAATAGAAAGCTGAACTTCACCCCACTCTGACCCAATGTCACTTAGTTTGTTCCACAGTATCTTTGTAGTTCAACATTTTCACTAGAGATTATTGGGTGCATTACACACTAAAGAAAGAAGTAAGCTCTTTGAAACAAATCATTTTGTGCCTATAAATCAAAGAAGTCATTTTTTTGGTTCTTGCTGTGCCACTAGAGAAGACAACAGAAGAGGATAAGCATCTTGCAATCATTTTAGGATAGTGCTTGATTGTGGACAAAACTTCCCCTTCCAGAAATAATATCACACCTATTAAGATATTATCTTAACAGGTGTGATCAGCACATCATGAAAACTTTGAAGAAATTTTTTTCTTTGAAATGAGAAAATTTTACAGTTTAAATCAGTGACCTATGCCCAAAAGAGCCACTAAATTTGGGAAGCAAGCAAGCTGCAAAATATGATACTTTCAGTTTACAGATTAACCCTATTCAATGGAATGATGGAAGGGTGGAATGGCAGAATATGCTCATGCTTTTAGAGGATGGCAATGATTTTGTTCCAGTTTCTGATCAGAACTGCCCCCTTCCTTTTTGAAGAGGGAGCCCAAATTAACCAGTTACACCCTAACATCAGTATGCATATTCTCCATACTGCTCTCTATAGATTTCCTAAAGTGCTGACAAGGAGAATTTGTTCATCAATCAAGAGAATATTTAGTTGGCAATCATTTCCTTTATTCTCATGACCTTACTGTGTGATGCAGGGGTTATACTGTTGGGAGAAATAGGATGCTAGTCACTCTCAGTGGTTAAAGGATTAAGGGTTTTGTATTTAAACCTTATCCCCAACATACCTCTGCCAAGGCTACAGCCATATCAAATGTACCAATGGTGTCCATGTTTGCACTAATGATTGGCACAACATCCTCAGGCAGTCCCTTCTTTGCATACTTAAAGTGAAAGTGTCTTGCCAGCACAACCTATTATTGCAACAAACAAATTTACATCATTCAAAATTCCAGGGTTTAAGCATCTCACAGATCTTTGTTTCAAGAACATTTTTAAATATGATATCTATATATATTTTTTCTAAAATGTTCCATCACAGTTTCAGTTCACTTACTACCAATACAGCACAACAGATGACAGAGAAACTAGTGCCTTTTAATTTATGGAAAGCAGCAATACAGATGAGATAATTCCCTTTGTTGCTGGTTTTTCAGAGCATCAATGTGGGATGGAAAAAAAATGCTATTGGTACCAACACATCGTTTTTCTGCAAAGACTTGTTCTGTTAAAAGCAAATTAAATCTAGCAAATTTATATCTTAATAAAACTTAACTTCTACTCTACCCAACAATTTCCCACCTTCAGGTTCAAAGCCTGATGAGTTGACCTCATTTCTGTTGTATGCAAACATTAATAATTGATTCCAGGGAAATCCAGAGGAAACAGCTCAAAAGCTCAGATCCCAGATGTAGGATAATTACAAAAGAAATTAAATATCCTGAGTAACTTTAAAACAAGACTGCAAGAGCTGGCATGCAGACATTATACCAAATATAAAATGTGAGATGGCACATACAGAGTTAGAAGTGCAAAATTCAATCAATTAATCTTTTTAGCAATTACAGAGCTTGTCAGATTACAAGCTGTACTTTTTCCCATCTCATACCATGAGGTTAAGTCTGCACACAAACATCCACCCAGCAAGAGCTGAACCTGGTTTCCATATCACATGAAGTGACTAGAAGTATTACTACTCCCTCCCTTGATGGGGTGCTAGTCCATCCCAAGGTTACCCTCCTACATTTTATCAGGCTTCCCTGACACTTTGCTTGTACCCATTTATTCTCCTGAGTGGAGAGAGACACTGTGAGAGCATGGTGTCTTGCCCTAGAACACAACACATGGACTGGCCAGGTCTTGAACCCAGACCTCTTGACCCGGAGTCCAGTACACTGACCATTAGACCACCACATCTCTGACCCATACAATGGGTTGGAGATGGTTTCCTAAAATTGCCTATCAAATAGAGGATGGTTTTCAAGGCCTGGAGTGTGAAACAGGGAATACAATCCTGCGGGTTTGCTTTGGACTAGACACAATGAAAGGGGGTGTGAAGGTGGTGAATCCCAGTCCACACATGACGCATTAACAATTATTTCAATCTTATCATGAAAATCTGTTTAACTATTGTAAAATTTGTCAAAATATTGTACAACCTGTCAAACTACTGTACACCAGTTAACCGGGCTGGTCCATTTTCCAAGATCAGTCAAGGCTCATGAGAAGAGGCCCTTCATTTCCCCGCCTCCCACCCCATCACAATGACTGTAATCCAAAATTTTAATGAAAATTCACCCTGAAAATTTCAAAAATTTTAAAATTATTGTGCATTGCAGGGTTCTGCTGCCATGTGTGAAAGGAGTAATAGCAATTTCTTCTTCGTTTGGAGCGCTACCGCAAATTAAATTAATTATATTAATTATACTAATCGATAGTCAATATTTCCGTTCAAATGACACCAGACAATCAATGAAACTTATTTGCCACAAGACTGATCGAGACGATTTAAAGGAAAACATATGAGAAAAATCGTGAGATTAATGAACCAACAGTTTAGTTACATGGTAACAAGAGAAAAAATTTGAACAACAAGAGGTTAACGCTGGCTCATGCTGAACCCAGCCGTGCAAAGCAGTAGGGAAGATTTTCCTCAGCTGTGTCTTTAATGACCCCTCCACTATTGCTCATCTACAAAATATTTTAAATATGAGTTGCACACTTTAAAAGCATGCCAACTCACGAGACAACACATCGACCACAAAAATACACCTCCCAGGGCTCCATAGCCAGTTGAGTAGAAAGAGGGCACAGCAGTTTTAGAGGGCATGAAAAGTTTCCTTTTCCAATGCAACTTACGTCTGCTCGACTTCGGATAGTGCTTCGTTTGGGTCGAATCAATACATCTTTAAAATCCAACCTGATGCTGTGATCTAGATGAGGCATTTTCATAAACAGAAAGAACGTTTCACGGACCACTTGTTAGTTTGTACGATTTGGGAAAAATGGCGGGACCACAGTCAAAATATGTCACGTGGTTTGTAATGTCTCAATTTTATTATATTAGCCTCGATTCTTGGTTGATAGCATCGATCTGAAAAGCGACAGAGATCAAAAATATTTTGCATCAAAACACCACTAGCTTGGAAATAGCGAAGTATGTTTTAGCTCAGTGAAACTCAACGAGATTATAGGTTTAAGGAGGAATAATTTTTGGAAGTTTCACTTACACTTTTAAGCAACCAATCGCTTGGGTCGTTATTTTGAACAAAGGTTTAAGCGCGTGCGTTCACTTTTGGCGCGCAAGTTCAACGGAGGCTGCGCAACATGGCCGATGGCACTTATGAGGTAAGTATGGCAAGTTCTCATTTAAAATTTCGATATATCGTGTCTTCCATATCGACCCATCTTAGAATAACATTTGTTATACGGGCATTGATATCTAGAGATTTATCGGAAAAGATCCTTGGTGGATAGTAAGGCACCTGTTTCCTTGTATTTTGAATTCTTCCAAGTTCATTCATTTGTTGTAAACGAATTTTCGTTTGAGAGGGAAAAACTTCCACGTGGATGAATTGGTGCTCAAAAAAACGTTTTCTTTTTCACTTTCGCTTCATTTATTCAGGTGATTGTGCAAAGTTATGTAAAGTAAGATTTCCAGTTGTAGTTTCCGAAATTGATAACATTGCACATCGTAAAATGTCTTTGTTTCCCATGGTCTGAATGAATTTCGCGTGTGTAATTTTCTTTTGATTGCTTTTAGCTCAACTTTTACCATGCCATGTCACATAGAGGAAAAGCATCGGATTTATTCAATTATATCTAAAATCACGCTATAGAAGGAAACATTGTACATAAATCAAGGAAACGAGATGTTCATTTCTTGTACACGTTGCCTTATTTGTTTAGGTTGACAAGGTAATAGGAAGACGAAGAACACAATCTGGAAAGGAAGAATTTCTGGTTCACTGGAAAAATTACGACTCTCTTTATAGCACTTGGGAACCCATTGAGAATTTAAGTCCTTGCCTTCACACCGTAACAGAGTTTATGGCCAAAGCATTTCCAATGCCAGGTAAATATTAACAAGATTTATCATGTACCCTGTTTGCTGTGTTGTTTTGTGGTCCCTCTACAGATCTTGTAGCAGTATTTGATAGTTAATTTTCTGTAAATATTGGTGACTTTCATGATGAGTGTGCTCTTGTTTAAAAAGTTTGCATTGAACCTCTTGAGAATGATACATGATCAACATTGTAGTATTTAGGTGCAAAAAAAAACAAGGTCTAGAAGAAACTTCTTTCACTTTCAACTCAAAGTTAAGTAAACAGATAACAGATATGATGGAAATTATCAACTAGAACTAAGTTAAGATAAATGAAAAACTTGTGCTGAGAAATATCTTGTCTTAGATCTTTAGGATGGGAACATTTCTTTTGTCCAGCATGATATTAATTTGTTTTGGATTTTAACTTAATCACCTACTTACTCATCTCTGAGAACGCAAGGTGTGAAATGTGATAATTTTTGAAAAGTGTGTGTCATGCATAAACACAATTTTTTGCCAGGAATAAATGCTGCCTTTGTTACTCATTTGGAGTCTAAACATCCAGAGATGCGACAGCTAAGAAAGGTCACTGATATTGATAAGAGAAAGCTTAGAAGTCTTCAAAACAAGGAAATGGTTGATGAGATTTTGAAAGTCAAAAATATGAGCCAAGAACTTAAAAAATATCAAAGAGGACGTGGAAGAGGAAGAAAAAGATCACAGCTCAGTGATCCATGTGAAGTGTTCACCCAAGAAGCCAAAAAGCTTCGACCAGGGCCACACAATGGACAGATCATTGATCAAACTGTTTTCTCTGGACTTGCTTGCAAAAGTCCTAGAGGAGCTTCTCCTAAGAAAGGAGAAAAGAAGTCCCCAGGAAAGAGAGGAAAGAACGGTTTGACTTGCTCTCTCATGGATGGTCTTGATGATGATGAAGTGTTAAGGTTGACCCGTACAACGCGGACACATGGTGTACTGGATGAGTGTGTGTCTGTCCTTAAAGAAGGGAGGATATGGAAAATAACTTTGTGCAGTGAAAGAAAGAAAAATGCCCTGACAACAGAGGTGGGTTATGTTACAACTTATTGATGGAACAAAGCTAGTCACCTGAACAGTTTGGTTTGACAAAATTTGCATTCAAGGTTTAGCAGCAAAATCTACATGTAAGAAAAAAGTTAACTAGTTTTCCAGTGTTCTCCTTTTCAGGCAGTAATGGGTAACATTTACTGCCTGTAGTACCTCTTATTACTGTTTAAAATTGCTTTACTGGTTTGAAAATTTATTTTACCTGTCATTCTTAAAATAAGGGAGAACACTGGTTTTCTGGTAACTTCCAAATGTTTTAGAAAAAACTATGAGCTTGATTATTTTCTCATTTTATAAAGAGCAGGAAAGAAGACAACAGGATTTTTCTGATATCAAAAATGTCCTCTAGTTCTACCCAAAAAGTAATTTTAGAGTAGATCACCTGATACCATATTTATTCGGCTATAAGCCGAGATCCCAAACTTTGTACGTGTGGACTTGGCATAATGAGAACCAAAAATAAATAAAAAATACCTGGCTATAAGCCAAGACCCATTCATTATTACAAGACTGAATTGTTAACTAAGGGAAAACCTAACTTTTTCTGAAAAAAAAAATCACATTGATTGTCATAATGAGGCTTAGACGATAACACACAGGCGTATACAAGAAATACAATGGTGATTTAATATGCAAAGGACAAAAAATCTTCTCTCTCAGAAAACACACACAAATTAATAAATATTACCCATAACTAACTAATGTATTCAATTGAAAGGTAACAAATCATAACTCAGATGAATTAATGTGATCCAAAATATCAATTTAAAACTAACTGTGTTGTTGAGCAGCATCACTGGTACCTACACATCCATAGGGTCTATCAAACAATCTTCTGTTTGCAAATGTTTATTTCAAAATAGCTTTTAGTTGATTGATGTGACATCTAAAGCCAAAGAATTCAGTGAGGATCCTGAGTTTATAAGCGTCCCTCAGCTGGTACCAGAAATGGAAGTGTTGCCATTCCGTCAGCCTTCGCACCAAAACAATAATTGCATATTGTGTTTCTTTACTTTAGCTCAGTAAATACATCCCGATTTAGTAGAGTATCCATGCACTGGAAAAAATTTTTTTTTCAAAAACTTTCGGCTATAAGCTGAGACCCCCTCTAGAGCCCAAATTTTATTTCACTTCAGTTTTAATTTGTCTAAAAATTGCTCAGCTTATAGTTGAATAAATACAGTTAGTATACCAGCCAAAAGGCCCATTTTGATTATCTCAGTCAGTGTTTAGTTTTAATCAAATGTATTTCTCTTCGTAAGGAACTGCTGGTAGGTTACAATGTTTGCCTTGCATTTTGTTTTCTTTTTTTTAATTGTTCTCTTAAGCAGAGATTGGGAAGACTAAACAAGCCTATGGACCATTTCTAAAAAGTATGGGCTATTAAAGGAAAAAAAAAAGTATTGGGCTATTGCAGTGATGGGGTGGGCTAGAAGAAAAGACTCGTGGGTATTTTTTTTGGTGAGGTCACTTTTGATGGCGTGTATCACATACACAGTTTCCTAAAGTTTACATTATAATGAAATAGTTTAATTCAGGTGTCCCTTAAGTCAAACAAACTCAACACCTGTCCACTTCAGGTGTAAAGCTATCATTACACTTTGCAGTACTGTCTTTTGAACATGTCAATATCCTTACTCTATTGAAACAATCCTGTTTCTTTAATTGTAAACTGATGACTGCGCAGACTCTATATAATCCGAGCTCCAATTGAAAAATGGTCACATGAAAGAAAAAAAATTTTAGTCACCCCCTCACCCCCTCAAAAAAAAAAAATCAGTGGGAGGACATTTCATGTTATACTACTTGAAATCTAGTGAGCAGAACAATATGTTTGTAAGACTTTCATTTGCTAAATTGGCATGTAAGCTTACTTGCTGATTAAAAGATTGTATCAGCAGTTAAGAGAAAGAGTACTAAGAGACACTGTTGTCTGGTATTAGAAACAATTTACTAAAAAAGTTGTTCAGACCATGTAACAGGTCATTTTCAGTACTGAAACTGAAATATTCTTCTTTGAAGTGAACTTTCATACTGAAAATGACGTCTTGAATCACTCGACAGTTAGTCATACTTCCAAATGCAAAGTTGATGGTTAGACTAAAGTGCTACATATCATAAAACATCAAGTTTAGCCCAATGAAATCAGTTTGACTAGACTGCCATCAATTTGAGGTGTTTGTGTATCTGGGAGTTATGGAACAGTGAGAGAAAGAAAGAGAGAGGAGATAAAGGCATTTGTTTGTTTCAAAATTCAACCAAATATCAATAATTTTTTCAGAATTTTTGTTTTAAATCTAGTGGTCACCAGTTGATGACTTTCATCAAAATTTTAGTAACAAAATACAGTTTCACTCCCATGCCCCTGGTGCTTTGTTAGGCCCAGTGGGGAGTTTTTTGATACTTACATATGGGCATGTCATTCTCAATCCCTTTTTAAGCAGAGTCATATTCAGAGAAAAAGGGGTTCCTTTTAGTTTTTATCATGCTTTAAACCTCTTGGTCTATTACAACCAATTCTAAACCTTTGGCACATGGAGGACTTATATTATCTGAAACCACTATGGCAAGCTGATTGCAGCAATATTCAATAATTTTATATATATTCAATTCAGTACTTATATTTATGTAATATTTTTTCATTTGTTCAATTTAGTATTTTTATTTATGGACTATTTTTAGCCCTTTAACTCCCATGAGTGACCATGACAGAATTTCTCCTTACAGTATCAATACAATATCAACCATATAAGTGATGAGAATAAAGAAAAATATCAATTTGGGAATATTTAGTTGATCCAGTACTAAATTCTCTCAACTAACATTATAAGAATTGTATGGTTGATAATAAGGAGAATTACAAATTTTATCTGGGAGTAAAAGGTTTAATTCCATTTAATTTAATATGTCTATACTTATTTAATTGCTCTATATCCATTTAATTTAATCCATATATATATATATGTGTGTGTTTGTGTGTGTGTGTGTATATATGTATATTCATGCAATTAAATCCATAAATATATTCATTTATTCTTGGGGACTGGGTAAAGCCATCAGATAAGAAACATAAGGGCCTGAGAAAAAAATTGTTGCTATTACAATATGGCAGACAAGGAAGGTTTTGATGTTGGAAGAGACCTGCCAGCATTTTTAGCCTCAGTTTCAGACAGAACAGAACATATTTTCCAAAATGATGTGGGTGAAGGAGCTGCTGAAGTGCATGCTGAAGTCGTCAATCAGAGTGTTAGAATGCGTAGATTGCTAAGAGATTGTCATGATATTGGAACAAGTGACAAAGAGAAGTTGGATTCACTTGCAGCAGCTTTTGCAGATGTGTTATTGTCTTTAAATCATCACATCACAGTGAAGTCTGTCATCCCAGAAACTGTTGATGAAAATGGTTTTTCCCCATTAAGGAGGAAAAGGAAACTCCTGGAGGACCACATTTTGATATTCCTGCTGAGATGTTGGAAGAAGTGCGTGAATTGGGGTTCAATTGGATTAAGAGTGGAGGATTATTGGGTGTTTCAAGGTGGACAATACACAGGAGAGTTGAACAGTATGGTTTGCAAAATATGGCATGATTTCATCATCTGCCTGACAAGGAACTAGGCGAGACTGTAAAATGCTTCATTTCCGATCATGGACAAACTACTGGACAGGGCTATGTTGGAGGTTACATTAGAGCACTTGGCTTTATAATTCAAAGAAAAAGGGTAAGAGACAGCATGGCAAGAGTAGATCCACAGAATACTGCACTAGGATGGGGAGTTGTTGTTTCGCGTAGGACATATCAGGTACCTTGGCCAAACTCCCTGTGGCACTTAGGTGGACTTCATGCTTCATGCTAATCATCAAATTTTAACATTCTCTAACTAACTTGATGGTATTCCCTTTTCTTATTCCTTCATTTTAAGGTGGCTAGTAGCAATTTCCAACAGTTTCTATCTCTTATGATATGGTACACTAAACATTTCTCAGTTGCTGCTACAATACTGGCATTGAATGAAAGCCCAATCAGTGCTGAACAAAATGTGATCAACATTAACATTACTGGTTACCATTACAACACAATAAAACACAATCACGAAGGCATGTCGGTGAAAATGTGCCTTTCAACAACATTGGACTCAGCTTTTAACAGGTAATAGGTAACCTTGCAACCTGCATGATAAAAATAACCCTGCACTAAATAGTTAAGGGTACTTCTATTATGATAATACAATAGAATTGTCCTTTGGTTTGATTTGTCAGTGTCCACAGTCACTGCTAAAGACTAGTGGCCAATTTTTATACCAGAACCAATCAACATAACAATAAGAAACATTTTTTGTTTAAAATCAGTTTGAGTTTTATTCCCTTTGTTTTAAATTATGGTAATAAATGAAACAAAGAAAAAATTTATGAAAGTACAAATATGTCCTCTATAGAAGACTATTTGTTAGAGTGATTTTATTTGACTCTGAAAGTTGCCCATAATTAATGATAAATAGTCAAAACTAAACAAAAGAAAACAGTAGAATTAGTGTTATGGTATCGTAATGCTCAATAACTATTTCACAGTTAAAGTAAATCCACTCTGCTGTTTTGATATTTTGTACAATGCATCAAGATCATGCACAGAAACCAACTCAGGCCAAAACTGAACTGCTTGGCTGTATCCAATGCTTGACTCACTGTTTTAAAATTCAGAGTGTTAACTCCTTGGTCTACACGATGCCAAAGTAATTATTCTCAAAGGCAGCAAGGTCAAACATTTCAAACAGTTCATTATCTGTTGGGAGGGGAAGAACTGCATTTCCTCTCGGCAAATTCAATGAGTTTGAACAGGTATGAGAAGTTGGCTTGAAATGCCAAGGTGGTTCCTCTGATTCCCTAATTCTCTGGTGAAAAAAGACAATTATTTGTGGTAGCTGTAACAATGGACATGTATGTAGTACATAAATAAGAGCAAACTCAAAAGGTTTTTCTTTAATGCCTTTAGTTTGCACAGCTCACTTTGGTTTACCTTATGTTCCTCTTCGGGGAATCTGAGACTGTAGTCTCTCGTCAGGGCTAAGTCTTCGTAAAGTTCCTCTACGCCAACTCCAGTCCGTCATGCTTCTTGCCTTAGTAACGGTTTCTGCAACACTGTGGAGCATTTATTACCTTTCTGTCAAACCATCTGACAAGGCTGATGTAGATGAAAAATCCACTGTCAGTAACATATCCAAGGCTTGCCTTAAAAGGCCTGCTGCTTCTTTTTGTACTGCAAGTACTCCTTGTATTGGCGGACAAACTCTGCATGTGAAACACTTTGTTCTAAGGCCCTTATCTTTCTGATCCAATGGCTTGACCCAGTCCCCAAGATTGAACAATATTTTGAGGGATTGAATTGAATGAATATCTGGATTAAATTAAATGGATATAGAGCAATTAGATAAGTATAGACATATTAAATTAAATGGATTTTAAAAATATTCCATAAATATAAATATCAAATTGAACAAATAAAAAATATTTCATAAATACAAATACTGAATTGAATATACATAAAATTTTTTACTATTGCTACAATCGGCTTGCCATAAACCACACTAAGGTAAAGCTGTGTAACTAATAGCCAGCCTTTATCTTTATCTTTAATAAATTTTATGCAAAGTGCTTTCACACAATCAGTGATTTGGTGTAAGTCCTGAATAAACATAAGGTTTGATACATTTCTATCAACATCTTCATCCTCGTCCAATGCATGCTGGAAAATATCCTGCTGTACCAACAACATTGGTTGCATCTTTTATTTTCCAATCCTTAGATGTGTGATCAGCTTGCTGGCTTTCTTCATGAAGCATCAAAAGACGATGTTGTTAGTGTTGTCATACTGACAGGAGCAGGGAACAGTTTCTGTAGTGGTCTGGATTACCAGCACCTAATAACAACACATAATCGACAGGAAGCAAAAAGAATGGTTGAGAAATTCAAGTAAGGAATGATGAAAATATAAGGGGATACCTCAGGGGGTAAGGACTGAGAGTAAGGGGTGAGGATTGGGTTGAAAGGATGAGGGGGCCTGGATGCAACAAAAAAAGTGCAAGAAACACAACTTTGTTTAAAAATGCATACAAAGTTTCTATTCTATGCAAGAGTGGATAAAAGTCATTATTGAGTGCTTACGAACACTAACTTACACCCTAGTGTGTGTCTTTGAAAATATGTATGAATCAGCCACATCCTCTCTGTGTGGACAGGAGGAAGTGATTGCTCTAGGCGTTGACTTTTGACTGGAAGAAACATTTGGCCTCTAAATTCACAGAACTTTGAGAAAGGGAAAGTAGAGGAGTTATGTATCTTATGTGCATTACATTAAATCTTTTGCTTTGAAGCATTTGTGGTGTACCTGTGTGATATATAACTCTACACAACCATGCCAGCCTTACTTCTTATTCTTAATAGAAGCAGTTTGGTCACTGTCAGGGGTGTAGTCCATTATGAAGTAATCCAATTTTTTTAAAATTTATTTCTTTTTTAATAGACTGTTGGTGGAACTGTTGATCAGTTTCCCAAAGGTTCTTGTAGCTGCTGTAAATGGCATTGCATTAGGATTTGGTACAGCACTCCTCAGTTTGTGTGACATAGTGTATGCCAGCAACAAGGTTTGTCAAATATAACCCACATTGCTTAAGAGTCTTGAAGCCTTGTATTTTTCATTTTTTATATTATTTTAGTTTAGAGCTGAATAAAACTGTCGCAGTTTAAATTTTTCTTGGGGTTAGGGGCCCTTGCCACTATCTCGTTGCTGCAGTAGAGGGTTACCACACACAAGAAATTTTCATGCTTACAGTAGACTGTTTTCAATAGAATACTGAAAACAATGATTATTTAAAGCCAATCTTTCTGACAGTATTTTTTCTTTTTTTTTTCAGGCAACTTTTCTCATAAGTTTACCAAATGGGGTCATCCACCAATTGGTTGCTTGTCTTCACTTTTACCCTCCCTACTGGGAAAAACTGGGGTAGGTGCTTTAGCAAAACCAATTAAAAAAATTTGCAACTTTGATCTGTATGATTTTTTAAATGTAGGAAGATTACTCTGGTGGAGTTCAGATCTTTAAATTCTCTAAACTTTTCATATTGCCCTTCAGTTGGATTTGAAATTACAAAAAATTCCACTGAGTCTTTTAGCTACTTCAAGCCAAGCTTTGGCTGATATAAGGCATAATTCTTCCCTGATGATGCTAGTTATTGTCAAAAGCTTAGACACTTATTTTTTATTTTTACAGTAGCTTAAAGCCTTACTGGAAACTAATATTAATATCATTTTGATTCTCTGTTTCCAAGTTCAAGTTATATAGAACAGCAAACTCTCGCAATGAAGGCATTATCTCGTTATTTATTTACTAATTGTACTACAACTTTTTCTAATCAGCTCTGTTTCTTGCAGGGACTGTCAATGCTGTTATTGAATCAAAAGATGACTGCCACCCAAGCATGGGAAAAGGGACTTGTGATGGAAGTTTTCAAACCAGATAATTTCTTGGAACAGGTTGACAACAGAGTTAAAGTAATGGCTGCTATGTCAAATAAGGTAAATACTTAAGTTATCTGCCATATAAAGTGGAACCAATGTGCAGATGACCCAGCTTTTATTTTCAATTATTTTCAAGAATTTTACATTGTATCAAGACCATATCCCCTTCACCCTTCACCAGGGTTCAAAATTAGCTTCATTATATGGGTTCCAAGTGATGACTGAATATTATTTTCCCAGTCTCTGAAATTAAAATATGGGAGGTTTTAATTGAAGAAGTTTTTTACTTAAAATGTATTCCTATTTGTGAACAATAACCTGTAGGGTCCGCACTCAAGATTGCAACAGACATGGGCACCAGTGGGACTTACGTTTTCCAGCTGGCAACTAAAATTTCTTGTCTAGTCTCTATACCTTGAATGGAAACCTATCATGCCCTTACCTTTTTGAGTCCCAAAGAGGAGACAAACCTCAGAACTTTGAATTTTTTGTAGTTAGGGGCTGTACAAACCCTTACTTCAAGGAACTCATTAGTGAACAACACAATCATAGGTCACATACTGTGATCAAATGTGATGATTACAATAAACACCTGCCTTCTCTCCCCCCAACAAATGCAGTGCCAACTTTTGAACAGTTCTCACACAAGCTGTCATGGCCAATCTTTTAGCTTGACCAGGAATGTACCATGTACATAACCTTTTGCGTGACAACTGTTCAATGGTTTGCATGGCATTTTTTTGTCATAATAGCCCAAACTCTTTTCAACCAAGATGTGCCACTTTTGTTGGGCCAAGAAAGAAAATTTAAGGTATAAAAGGTTACCAAATCTAACTTAATTATTACTCTACAGATTCTACAGGACACAAAATCTCTCATCAAGCATTCCTACCAAGAGACACTTAGTGATGCCAACAATGAAGAATGTAAATTATTTCTAAAATATCTTGGAGATGATAAAGTGTTAGACACTTTGAAAACAAACTGGCTTCCAGATGTTGTTATTACTTGATTTTATTATTATTGTCATTAATATTATTATTGTTTTGAGGTTGTAACTTTCAAACAGATAATGTTGCATTTGCTGTAAACTTAAAGGCACTACAGTGTTTCACTCTCTATGAAGGTAAAATGCTACCCTCTTTTTTAACTGCTTTTTGTCAAACTTTTTAATATTAGTTTTTATTTCAGTTTTTTTTCTACCCTTTTCAACCTTTAATCATAACCATTACAAATTCCTCAATTGTTATCAGTGCATTTGCAGCTTCATTTTTCACTAATCATTCTGTATGGTTGTAATTGGACAGTGTAATCAGACTATTGGCTGTAATCGGATAGTTGAAGCAGCCAATCATACTAGGTCTACTCAGCTAAATCCATCAATCACAGAATTTATCACAATAGCCATAGCAACAACTACTTATCCAAAGAAAAGCAAGGCAATTTCCAAAATGGAGGAATTATTAACTTAAGATATTGTCTCCAGTGGAGATATTTGTTCTAGGTGTTTTTACTTTTTTGGAAATTGAAATGGTTATGAGTAATTGGTAACAGGATGTCTTGTCATCCCATTCTGTCTGTAATCATACTTATGAACTCCCGCTTCGCAGTTGCCTGATTTTGTCAATCACTTGTATGATTACAGACTGAATTGGACTCCACTTGGTCCCATTGCCATTATTAATACATCTTCTGAGTGATATTCTTTTTTCAGTTACCTCTGGTTTGCAGTCAGTTAATGATACGATAATTGCAGACCCAGTGTTCACTGACACATTACTAACATCTACTACAAGTAAGGGTACTTATCCCTAACATTGTACTTTCTTGCAAAATAAACAGTCTTGGATTGTTTGTAATAAAGACCTTAAGCAAACCACCATGGCAACAGCAACAAAACCATGGCTAAACAAAAGATTCAGTGAAGACATAAATTGCTCAGTATGTACGTTTTAAAATTTTATTCATCTCTTATCCATCCTCTGAAACACAATAATGCAAATCCCTAAAATTTGCGTGGGTTAGAATGGAAACTCTGATGGCAAATTATTTACCTCTCTGCGTAGAACTAAACCCTGTCCACTTTTCTTATGGCAAAGATGATGTCTTGCATTGTTAGAGAGGGTAATCACATCCACCATCCATTTAGTTGACATTTTCATCAGCATTGCCATCCTGATTGCTTAAGATCCCTAAAGATTTCTGTCAGTTAACTCTCTTGTGTTACAAGTTACTTCCAAGCACAATCATTGTCTCTTCCAGGTAAAGTCCTCTTTTCCAAACTCCTGCTGGACATAATAACTGTTCAATCTCCACTTTGCTGGCTTTTTATCTAGTCAACATTGGACTGAAGAACTGAAGAACATACCCTTTTACATTTAACTTTTTTAAAAAACCCTTTTTATTTTGTTTATATTTATGGGAATTTATGAAGCAAGTTTTACATCAGTTTTGAAAGAATAAACATATGTTAGACTGGTAATCCACAATTTATACTCTCTTAGTAGAGAAGGAAATTTTTGAGGCACCTCTGGCATGGAATGTTTATGCTGTGGATTCCTTTCCACAAAGTAATGTGTATTTTTTATAAGGAAAAAATCCACTCTGATTTATATTTCTGATTAATTTTTTTCTTGATAGTCTTATCCAGTGGTCAAGTTTTGTTATTGTTACAGTCATCTTTATGTAAAGCCAGATTAAATCCTAATGGCTGGGTGGGATGTTGATGTTTTCAACTAATATGTGATACAGACTTCTTTTGTTGTGTCTGTGAAGGGTTGCTTCTTTTATTGCATTTGGTACCGTTTTCAGACTGGTTTCACAAATCTGGGACTTTTTGTGAATATTTTAACAAGTTTGAAGTATATTTTATTGGAAAATACTGGTTGACAATTTGTGAATTGAGAAACACATTTTACTTTTTGAGTCTACAGCATTCCAACTGATAGTATGGTTACAGCATCAAAAGCAGAGACGATGAACATAATAAGTTAAGGTTTTTGAAATAAGCTTTTTTCCTTTTTTCCCCAAGATGACAATATAAATTCTCTGTACTGTTTGCTATACATTTCTTAGAATTTTAGCTTTCAGAATTTGGTGTTAGATCAAGCAAATATACCCATAGATGATAAATATTCTTTTTCTCATCACCTTTCTTCTAAACAGTGCATTGTATTGTAAGCAAAAACAATTTATTTTACACCTTTGGGAGTGAAGGTTTTTTTTTTCTGCGGGGGGGTGGGGGGGGTTAACCTAATTATATAATTTCCAGTTTTTATGTAGACACAGTCATTCTGTTGCTGTAACATGCATTTAGATGAGATTAAAAGATTAGTTTGATTAAAATGTTTGGATGCATAGGAATTGTAATCACACCAGGATCGTGCAGATTTTTTTTCTTCCTTAATTAAGTGTTGAAAAAAAATGATATAAAGACCTGAAAATATTACAGGAAATTAAAAGAAAAAAAAAGATGGGAAGGGAAGATGTCTCTGTTATTATTCCTAAGCTGCAACAAGTGGTTAATTCCAGATGGAAATATTTGTGATCTTTCTCTTCCTGTTCTTTTTACTTAAATAATTCCTCTCTGTTTCCTTATTTGTTTTCTTTTGTTTAATTAGTAGTTTATTTTGGCTCTCAAGGTCTTCTGATTTCATATACGTGGGATCAAAAACATTTTTAATGCCCTGCTGGATTAAGTTTGGCCAAAATTTTAAATATGTGGCTAAGAACTTTTTCACATGTTTGTCATGTCTGTTACACTTTATGCTTCCTAAGATATTTCATTATTGGTTTTAGTGTGGAGTGGAATTTTGTTTTTACTGTTGAAGGAGAAAATCGTTAATATGAGATATGAGGGTTTAAAGATTAGTTTGATTAAAATAATTGGATGCACAGAAATTGTAATCAACATGGTTTTTCAGACCAGGATTGAACAGAGTTTTGAATTCTTCCTTAAGTGTGGAGAAAATGATATAGAGACCGGAAAATATTAAAAGACAAAAAGGAAATTAAAAGAAAAAAAGGGGGGAAGAAGTCTGCTATTATTTCTAAGCTGCAACAAGTGCTTAATTACAAGTGAAAACCTTTTTAATCTTTCTCTTCTTCCGGTTCTTTTTACCGAATTAATTTCTCTCTGTTCCTTTATCTGTTTTCTTTTGTTTAATTAGTAGTTTATTTTGGCCCTCAAGGTCTTCTGATTTCATAAACGAGAGCTCAAAAACATTTTAAATGCCCTGCTGAATTAAGTTTGGCCAAAAGGTGGCTAAGAACTTTTCACATTCATTTTATGTCCGTTACAGTTATTTCATCATTGGTTTAAGTGTGGAGTGGAATTTTGTTTTTATAATTGGAAGGAGAAAATTGTCAATATGGGATATGAGGATGTTTTTAAGAGGGGTACTGCATACCCCCCTTACAATTTGTATTGAATATGCCCTCATCCCCTGCTCATGGTTGGAGCTTCTCTACAGGGCCTGGGGCATTTTTCTCAGGTAAATTTATGGCCCTTTGAGTCTAACCATTGGGGCTCAACGTATCACAACAACAAATTTATATCCGTTTACAAAATTTATTCTATATTGATTAATGTGGTAGTTCTGGATCTATAAACAAGCACTGGTAAGTTGAATTATCAACTGTCGTTGGAGCCTGATCTCATCTTCAAATTTTGCTGTGCAATTTATTGACATTTTCAGTCTAAAATTCAAGTAACAGTCCCCAAATATGTACAAATAATTTACTAATATCTACAAAAACTGCAGAAACACCAAAACATTCGTTAAAGTTAGTATGATAAAAAATCTCGCACCACTAACCTACAATAAAAGCCTTTGACTTTGAAGCTCGACGATTTGAGTTACAATTGTTTTTGCAGTACGTGTGAAACTACTTGAACCGGATCCCTTCAATCGAAAAAATTAGGAAGCTTTGTGTTTTTACTTCAGTTTTATTGGTTCGTTTACAAAAGAAAGTTTGACATCCTTCGTTCTCAATAAACATCTTCATTGGTTCATTTTTCTTCATTTCGATCCGGTTCAAATAATCTCGCTGATTTGAGCGCTTCACAGATTTAGTTTGCTTTCATTCACGTTTTGAATTAATGGGTTGTAATTGTTACTGAGCTGGTTACCTCATAGTTATTTTGAATAGTAAGTTGTTCAGATAATTTAATTTCAGTTTTTAATTGGAATTGCACAGGGCAAGGGAAGTAGCCAACATTTAGACTGACTCTTGTTTAGTAAACGACGTGCGCGTCGCTCACCTGCTTTTGAGATGTTATTTCTTGCGAGGTTTAACGCGCGTAGCTGACAGTTGTCGTTGTTTATGGCTTCTGCCAAGTGCTGTGCTCCAATGTCTAAGATGTTATTGTCTGAGAGGTTTAACGTGCGTAGCTGATAGTTGTTGTTATTGATGACTTCAGCCAAGTGCTGTGCTCCAATGTGTGAGATGTTATTTCTTGAGAGGTTTAACGTGCGTAGCTGAAAGTTGTTGCTGTTGATGGCTTTAGCCAAGTGCTGTGCTCCATCGTCTGAGATGTAATTTTCTGAGAGGTTTAAGGTGTGTAGCTTACGGTTATTGTTGTTGATGGCTTCAGCCAAGTGCTGTGTTCCAATGGCTGAGATGTTATTTCTTGAGAGGTCTAACGTGTGTAGCTGACAGTTGTTGTTGTTGATGGCTTCAGCCAAGTGCTGTGCTCCAATGTCTGAGATGTTATTTTCTGAGAGGTTTAACGTGCGTAGCTGACAATTGTTGTCGTTGTCGATGGCTTCCGCCAAGTGCTGTGCTCCAATGTCTAAGATGTTATTTCCCCAGAGGTTTAACGTGTTTAGCTGACAGTTGTTGTTGCCAATGGCTTCAGCCAAGTGTTGTCCTCCAATGGCTGATATTTTATTTCCTGTAAGATCTAACGTGCGTTGCTGACAATTTTTGTTGTTGTTGATGGCTTCTGCTAAATACTTTACTCCTTCATCAGTCAACTGATTGTATCTGAGGTCTAACCAGCTCAGCTGAGATTTCCTACATTTTAACAGTTTGCAAATTTCAAAAGAACCTAATGGACCAATGTTATTGCGAGTCAAATCTAAATATGAATTCTGTTGAACATTAATTACATTTACTAACGAAGAGCAATCAACAGGTGTGAGGCGACCATCAATAAAATTTGCACAATTAAAGTTTATTTGTTGAAGTTTTCTCTGTGCTTCTATCTTCATACTATTATTTTCGTTTATACATTTAATTAACGTCACCGCTAAATATTTTTCGTCTTCAGTCGGCCAGCAGGTCACTTTCCTTTTCTCGTGCCACCACTTTTTGTTGTCACGGTAGTATTTGCTTTCTTTTTCTTCAGTTTTTACTGGGAGAAGATCAGTGATAATTTCGCTTGGTAGGTGATTTTTATGCTCCATGAGTCCTGCCAGAAACTGAAAAACCAGCTGCCATTTGCCGTTCTTAATGTTCTCGTAAACAAAGTTTCTTAATTCTGTTTCACTCATATTGTTTGCCAGGTGTCTCGCAGCGAAAAACTCTTGCATTGTCAAATGAATGAAACAGTATTGTGATTCAGGATTAAGCGGGTCAGTTTGACGGTCGGGTAAGCGGTGAAAAAGCGCGCTGTCTTCCATTCCGCGTACTTCGTTTCCTTCAAGGATAAGTTTTCCTTCGTTGATTCCTTTAAACGCCACTTTTCCTAGTTTCTCGAATTTCTTCTCCACAGCCAAGGGCAAATCATCTGATTCTAAATGTTCGCGAATAAAAAAATTATCGCGGTATTCTTTTGTATGTTTAAAATAAAACACTTTCACTGCGACCTTGTAAATCGTTGTTAATTTGGAAGGCAGGGTAACACCAGCGGTACTGTCGAACTGCAGTATTTGTAATAGACTTGTACACATAATGAAGGTGTTTACTGGGACATAACAAAGCGAAAGCAAATTCATGTTGCTGCTGATGTGTTTCCATAGTGTTTCACCTGCTTCCTTTTCATCTCCGGCGAATTTGTAGACATATTCTTCAACTTGTTCCGATGAGAATCCTAGAATCTCGTACCTTTTGGAGAACGAAAGGTGTCTCATGCCCGACAAAGCCGTAGATCTCGTTGTGGTTAACACTGAAGCCTCTTTAAGAAGTTTCCCGGTCACAAGCCACTGATAAAGGATTTGGAGCGGCTTTTTATCTTCAATGCTTCTGGGATGAGTGGCCGCCACGGGTATGTTTTCGCCGTGTTTGAATTCGTCGAATCCGTCAAAAAGTATGAGAACACCTTCAGGGTTCTTTTGGAGGTGATTCCAGACCTCGTCATCCATGTGATGTGTAGGGAAATACTCGGACTTAATCAACAGTTCCTTGAGGCTGAGGTCGTCGGCCGAGTTGAATCTTCTGAATTTTACGAAGAAAGCAACATCAAAATGGATTTTGGTATCTGATGTCGCTTTGAAAACTTTATCCAATGCCCAGTCTCTGAGGAGTTTGATACAACACAATGTCTTGCCGATTCCGGGTCGACCGACGATTAAAACTTTCTTGTTTTCAACATTCAGAAGGTCTTCCGGGCTTTTCATTTGTGAGTTTTTGTCGCGTGACCTTGGATAAACTTTGAGTAACTCCTCTCGGTTTTCAGTAAATTCATACGTTGCTCTGTTCTTGATAACCACAAGGTTTGTGTAAATCTGATCGAGAGTCAAATTTTTAACTGTTGTGTCGTCGCCTGGACCACCTGAAAAAGGTGATTGTAGTTCTAAAAGTTCTTGAGTCTCCTGAATAATTATTTCCTTTTTGCGTTGAATGAACTCTTGAAACTTTTTTTCTTGGAGTTGTTCAGTGTGTCTTTCAGTGAGTGGAATAGTTTCGTTCCTTCCATCTAGGTGTTGGCTGAGATGGGTTTTTAGAAACTTTGAGTCTTGCATGAAACTCCTTTCAATGCATGCCCGTGATAAAAGGTAGACGGTTTCGACCAGAATGCCAGCAACAAGAATTCCATTCACCGCAAGGACAGCGTACATCCAGAATGCTTTCTTATCCGCCCGTTGATTGTGACAGTCGTGTAAAGTAGAGTTTTGGGCGGTTTCAGATGAATTCCTTGGCTGAGTAGTTCCACCGTTTAAATCACAGTTAAACTCAGAGGAAAACTTTAAAGGATAAAGCAACCGAGTTTGTAGGATGATGAAAATAACTCCTAAAACAATTCTTATCGATAGTTGACAGCAGTAAGCGATAAAAAGCTTTTTTCCAGTTGATGACGCAGTCTCTTGGTCGAGCAGCTGTCTCTCTTGATCACCGACACGGATGCCTCGCGACAGATGATCGACTTTCGATTTCACTATTTGGGAGTAAATAGCACATACAAGTGCAATAAGGAGCAAATTGATGATTACGAAGCCATAGACAGGAAAACCGAATTTGTTGTACTGCTTCATATATTTCTCGTAACATTTTCCACGGACGATGTCGACGTTTTCACTCTTCGCTCCGCCACAGCGGAAATCAAACCTGGGCTCGCTGTTTTCCATGTCGACGAATATGGCGAAGAAGAGGACACTGATCAGGATCCAAAAAACCACGCCCACATAGTGAACTCTGTGGAAAGTTTTTGGCTCCAAATATTCTAAAATCTTTTCCATTGATACTGTTGGTATCGTTACTCACTTCGTTAGAATGCTGATCAGTGCTAGAGCTTGAATAAACAGCTAATGCTACCTTGGTCTATTTATAGAGCATGATAGTACTTTCATTTGATTGGCTTTTTGGAAACTTTCAACTGTCGAAAAGACAATGGATTATTTATGCATGTTATTGTTCTACATAAGAAACAGTTGTCAGAAACTGAGACGGATACTGATATCTACATATGTGGCAATATACAGGACCTCGTTTCATTCCGCCCACCCCTCCCCCCCCCGTGTTAATTTTCACCCTTAATGTCGCTGTAGAGGCCCTGACCAGGAAATCGTCGTACCGATGTAGCTTATTTTGAAAGTTGAAGACTAAACTCTGAGTTGCTGCGTGTGGACATTTCATCTGGGTGGCAATTGTTTGGAAAGGAAATTGTAACCCTTGGCTGATTCAAGTCACGATTGGTTGAGGTTTTGCATCTGATTAACACTGAGGGTGGTGTGAGTTTTTCTAACTAATCCCAAAGCGGCTTATTGAAGCAAAATTAATGCAAATTAAATTATTTTCGACCACGTCGTGAAATTACTGCTCTGTTTCGATCAATGTTCTCATCTTATCACGATTATAGTAGGTGTCAGGGTCTAGAAATACTTTGGCACGTCCTTTGTTCTTTGATGGAAGCTCTATGCATTTCTGAGCCGAAAACTCACTGATTAATTGCTCAACCTAAAACAAAGGGGTCCTCTATCCGAAAATATTTACAATGGGATCAGACAAACAGCTTCCTCAGATTTACGGCTTTAATACCTAAGGTACACGAGGCCGAGTTACCATCAACACCCAGTGTATCATTTGATATAACCTTCGCTTACGATCTGTTTATTTTAATAAACATCCTGTCTCCACTGACGGGTAAATCGAATCTGACACTCTCCTTATTTTGTGTCCATCATAAACCGCCACAAAATACAGGACAACGAAATCACGCTCTCTTTGAGGTAGAATCATTGCTTTGCGCTCAAACGAACGTAAATCATTTTCCCCTTCAACACTAGAAAGACATGACCACAACAGCTTGATGGTTGGTTGCTCAAGCATTTCAAAACTGACGTTTACTTTCACAACTCAATACACGCATTGATAAGTAATAACATACGATTATAGTGTGCTCGTTAGGAATGTACCATTAATTAGGATTTCTATAAGCCTATCCGACTACTAATTTGTAAATGCTTTGAGACTTCCTCTAAGATATACATATCCTTCGCAGTATCCGACTTCCGGCGTCCCTTAAGTTTAATTAAGTAACCTTTCTGATAGATTAGGATTGTTACTAACAGCAGAGGTAGCACCTCCGGATCTTAAACCATGAAGGCCATACATTTTATGATCTAAACCGAGTTCTTTAAGACAATCCTTAAAGATTTCCTTACACCTACTGTATGATAACTTCCCTCCATACAACTTGTGCTCATTTGTAGATTTAAACAGCCTTACTGGCCTGAAGAGTTGCAACGGGGCTGGAGAGATTAATATCTTCCAATAAAATATAACTTTCTGAAAGTGCCACGGGACAATAATTGTTACCTAGCCTCTTGGCATAAACATGATTCCCTTCCCGGTAAATGTCATTCTTCGCCCTTGGAACGAATACCCTCAAGTATTCAGGACGAAAAAACCCTGCAAAACCTAACGAGTAAATACAAGCTAAACGTAAATCCTCTAAATTAACTGATGGACCAGCATACTTATTAACTATAATTCTAATAACATCTGCAGGCATAGATGCCATCTTAACAATAACTGGCTTGCAACGCTTAGCCGCTTCCAGCAAATTATGACAAACTGAACTATAGCTATCGAGTGGATTGTTGTCATTACGCGGAAAGAAGGAATGAAACCACTTAAGAGCGGCGTGAGACAACATTAATGTGGCATAAGAGTTTGAACTTTGTAAACTTTATAAAGATAGGAAACTGCGAGAGAAACAGAGAAAGGAGGCACCGACCTAACATTGGACAAATTACACCATTTAAGAAACCTAAGAATCTCTTTCTTGTATCTCTTCGATGAAGACTCCGCTTTATATTTCAATAGCATCAAGAGAAGATCTTTCAAGTCTGGCCTTATCCTAGCGGGGAGATGATTCCAATGGCCATCCACATCAAACATCTGCAACGAGAAAAACGCCATGGTAATAAACGACATGGACGTTAAACCTCCCTTTCTCGTTTCAAATTGACCGTCATAAAGGCTGTCGGTCAGCGCCGGTACCTACAAAAACCGTTCCATCTTCAACTTAGGCCAGCTCCCCCTTTCACTGTATACACTCAATGACAAGTGTCTCATGTCTCTTTTCCCTGCTCTACACGTAGACAATCAACTAAGCAATATTGATGAAATTACCTAAAAGCATGAGAGGGAGAACAGAACTTCACACGAACAGCTAAAACTAGTCCAGTAAATCTGCCACTACCCAAAAAACGAGTTGGTGTTCCGCCCATGCTGTAGCTGTATCGCTTGTTATCTGACCGCTTTGATGAAAAGAACCCATTTTAGCGAGTTATCCATTTCGAGGTTTTCTACGTACATAAGAAAAGGGCTTTCATATACATATATATATTATGTATATAACTAGTTATAGTTCTCACTAGAGCTGCCCCCGCCCTACAGTACCATTTTCTTTTTTTTTTTTTTGAGTTGGGCTTGTTGTTTACAGTTGTGTAATTTTTCTGTTATGCTGTTACGGAATTGCGGCTCAGTACTTTGGTGTTAGTAATTTTGCATCTCAAAATACTACAAGTGTACAAAATGTAGTTTTGCGAAGTGCTTGGGGTTTTTTTTTTTGCTGTGTGGTTTAACTTAGGATTTTTTTGTTCTTCACGATCAAGAAGAAGCAGAATGTAGGGACTTGGGTGAGTTTTAACATTGGAATGTTATAGGTGGCATTGGAGAACAATTTATAGACAGCATTGAATAACAATTTATTATTATATAGTTATTAGACACAAAATTATACCTTAAGAGGGCCTACATTCTCTCTTCTCCAGTCTTCCTCTATACTAGGACAAATCTCGTGTCAAAGACGCCGATCCTAAAAGTCCTCGCGCGCGTGTCTTTTTACTGGCAGCCCATGACCATTTGCGGGAAAAACGTTGATACCTTGCGGCCGTGCAAGCGATCAAATCGAGATTTTTTCTGGTTATGATCTACCGAAAATACCCACATTCTCTCTTCTCCAGTCTTCCTCTATATTACACGGGGAGTCCTAAGGTGCCTCCTCGGGTTTTTGGCCCTCTGGGGCCAAAAACCCTGCGGGGGCAACTATCATATACATAATCACTATCTTGACTACTATGATAACTGCCATCATCAGAATATATTTCCTGAGATTCCATGTATAATATTACATTTGACAAAAATCATAGAATTTCCAAGAACTACGATAACGCCCAGATTCCAGGAAATAATAGATATAGCTTGCAAAAAATCGCGAGATTTTAGGTCGGCAAAAAAAAAAAAAATTCAACAATGCAAAATTTAATCCTTTATAGAAAATTCAAATTAAGGAACATATTGATCAACATGATCAGCAAAAAACCTGAAGACTTACTGCTTCAGTTTCTGACACAGCTGATTGAAATTGACTACATCATTGAAGCCATAGGCTACAAGGACATTTTTACAACGTTTTATCAATGCACACTTGATTAGTTCTAATTTACACCCAGAGGGAATATGAAGAGACTATGACAGTAGAGTGGAGACTACATATGCAGAGAAAAAAAATTAAAATAGCTTTTAAATTAAGTCAAAATGATAGAAATCATGCTGCAAGTTTCTATAATTGTGATATTCACTGTGGGTTAAGATTTCAATACCAGAATAAAATACATGAGTTCTATCCACTTACCCTCTTTACCATTCCCTCCTCGACGAAACGTAGCTAACGTTTAGGAAATTTACACAACTTTAGTCCACGCAGAACATGAAACAGTTGATGATTTTGGAGAAAATGTCTAATCTAGCAAAGTAGTATTACTACATTCTGATTATTCTTTGAATCACCTTTTGTGCCTCTTTTTATTCATTTTGGATCATATAAATCTTTTTTTATCAGGTACCTTACTTGGTCTCTGCTGCATCACTATCATAGTCAATTATTAATTACCAAGCAACACAAGCAACCATAGTCCTATGATCTAGCATCCATGTGAATAAGATAGAAAGCAGGAAGACACTTCAGATTTATCTGTGATTCAAAGAACTAATCATAAACAGGACACTCTCTAACCTGAATCCTTCAATCAACGACAAATTTCTCATTTCAGTTCTGGTGTTATGGGTACTTGTCTCTTGAAATTCATCTGCAAATAAAGATCGACACTAAATTGGATATTCTATCTGTTCGCGAACTGAAAAGTAGTTCAAACTCTACAATAATATTTGAAGCTGTTATGGATTACTGATTATGGCAAGCATTCATCACTATTTTTGAAATTTGATTGTTTTATCTTTTCATGCACCAAAATGTTGTTTACAAAGTGTAAGCAAGCCCAACATATGTCTCTTTTCTATAAATATTTGCACACTCGAAAATCGTTTTCTCTTTTCCTCAAATCTTTGCTTTTACAAATTTTTACATCTCGAGACGAACTAAGCTTCGCTTCTTAAGGGGTGTGAGCGCATCGTTGAGTTGACGTAACTAGGTATGGTGCTGGTCGTTTCCAACGGGTGCAAAGATTCGTTGATCAGAAATGCTGCTTAATCCTTTGAGTTATGCAGCATTTTCACTTTTTCTTTCTCCAGTAATTCTCCCTCCACTCTTTTTCAGTATTTTCAGTCCCTATCAATAAATAGTGCAACGATGAGTGAGGACAATCGAAATAGATTCTTATTTCTGAATCTCCTTTTGGGGAACTACCAAGAACGCCCCTTCGATATTTAGTATATTTGCTCAAGAATTTTATACCCGATATGTCTATGACCAACATTTAAACTGTAAGAT